TGCTGTATGTGGCTCTGCTTATTCTTAGATTGTGTGTTCTTGTATGGGGGAGGGGGGGGGGGTGGAGTTCTTGTGTGTGATGTGGTGTTCTTGTATGTGATGTGGTGAACTTTTAAGGAGGTGGAAGGGAGTGTGGCCCATGGGAGGTAAGGAGACAGAAGTGAGGAAAAGAGACACGACTCTGTGTTTGTGTCTCTTTTTGTGCCCTTTTCTAGAAATAAAAATAGAGGACCAAAGAGTGAGGGAAAGAGAAATAAGAGAGATATATTGCGCGTGTTTGTCTGTATCACCGTACTTCTGAGAGAGTTTTAGAGAGAGGGGCTGAGGGGGAATATTTTTTTAATGAAAATAACTTCTTTAGAATGTGTGTGTGTCTTTGTTACTGAGACGTTAATGTGTGTCCGTCTTCGTCATTGTAATCTATTTTGAGAGAGGGGGAGAGAGAGAGAGAGAGAGAGAGAACGCAGGAACAAACTAACTTTAGTTTTAAACCGTCACAGATTGGGTACGTATACCAGTTTGACATTTGGCCCTGTCAGACACTTATTTCTCACACTGCGATACGTTGCTTTTCTCAAAGTGAAGTCAGACCTTCGACACCCACTTTATGAGGAGTTATTCAAGCGCTGAGGACACCATCGAACAATAATGCCGCTTTACTGGCGGTAATTTTGAAACTGAATTAGATACTTATGACTCCTGCACCAAACATTACCTTTACAGTCCACATCACACTTGAAGGAAGCTGTAGGGAGCAGATTCCTGGCATTGTGAACTTTTTAGTCAGAACACTGACGGACGAAAACACAGATGAAAATAATGCTATAGTTTACACGGACGGATCAGTAATTGGGGGCAAGCGATGCGCATAAGCTGGAGAGGGAAAACCATAAAGAAGATGAATGGCGACTTTGCTGTTATAACCAGTTACATTACAATGGAAACTCTGGCTGTAATAAGGAAGTTAGCATGGCTTGGTACTCAAGAGTTCAGACACGCGTGCATACTTAGTGACTCGATACATATGCTTTAAAATACCCAGACTGGTTTTGTCAGACAAGAATGGATTGCAACACTTAGCACTTTGCGAATTGCTGCCGTGGTCTTCATCTCTCTGCCAGGTCATGCGAGTATTCAAGGAAGCGAGCGTGCAGACCATCTTGCCGACACTGCGGTTGCTATGGCTGGTGCAGTACTGGTCAGAAGCGAGGTTATCAATGCTATTCGCAGCACTTACAGTACCGAGGAGCGCACCAAAGAGCATGACCCCGTATCCCTCTCTAGGCTGATGGACATCATTGGGGTGCAGCCTGGAGCTGCAAGACATGAACATTACGCTAATAGGACTAGACGTTTCATTATTCAACACAGTACAGGTGTCAATAGTCATTTTACACTTATGGAGCTATCGAGGAGGAGATCGGAGAACAAATGGATCCGTCCGGAGTGCTGTGATGATAATCCTTACCAATCACTAATTACTGCTATAGTTTTTTCTTCTTCTTCTTCTTCGCGTTCACCAGCTGTACACTCTGGCGGTAAGTTCTGGTTGTTCGTCCACACCTGGACTGCAGTCCTGCTACAGAACCTGGGTGTTGCGTGTGCATCAGTTTTACAGATCTGATTCACTTGAATGCAGACTGTTGGTTCCTTGCCTCTCAGGCAGATGCACTCCGACTTCAAAGGAAGCTACCAATTAGTCGACTCTTACGACATGCTTTTTGGTAGGCAGTGGGTCTATTCTTGTTTTCCCCCACAATGGGGCCCCGGATCCCACACGGGGACTATAGTTTTTTTGTTTTGTTTTGTACAAAGCATGTATGTTATGTTCATACAACAATATACATATTATTATTATAATATATATATATATATATATATATATATATATATATATATATATATATATATATATATGGGCGAGAGAGAGAGAGAGAGAGAGAGAGAGAGAGAGAGAGAGAGAGAGAGAGAGAGAGAGAGAGAGAGAGAGAGGGTATTATTTTTGTTTTTAATGATTGTAAGAATACATGATGGCTTCCAGAATAAGAAACACACAGTGACCGTCTTTGTCGACCTCCAGCAGGCCTATGACAGAGTATGGAGAAAAGGTCTCCTGATGAAGACGATGAGCATAGGAATACATGGCAGATTGTATAACTGGGTGAAATACTTTCTGATAGATAGAACAATCCAGACTAAAATGCACAACGCAATCTCTTCTAAAGAAGTCTTGGAGGAGGGCTTGCCACAAAGCTCATCATTGAGCTGTACACTGTTCCTAATCTTTATCAATGACCTGCCAGAACAAATCAAGGCCGAAAAAGCCTTGTACGCTGATGACCTAGCAATATGGCAGAGTCATGAAAATGTGGAAAGTGGAGCCCAAAGACTGAATGGAGACCTTAAAAGACTGCATGAGTACTGCCAAAGATGGAAACTCAAGGTTAACTGTGCAAAGACGGTCTACACAATCTTTACCAAAAGCCATCAAGTAGCAAGGAAGAATATTAACTTGAGGTTAGACAAACACCAAGTGATGAAAGAAGAGCATCCCACATACCTTGGAGTCACACTTGACCGGCAGCTTAGCCTCAAGAACCATATTGAAAACATCAGGAATAAGGCATTGAGGCGGTTACAGTTATTAAAGAGACTTGCAGGTACATCATGGGGATCAGACAAGGAAACTCTGAGGGGCTTATATTTAGGATATGTTCGCTCTGTGATAGAGTACAACAACTCACTGCTTACAACTTGCTCCAAAACTAACCTAGAGACTCTTGACAGAGTACAAAATAATGCCCTCCGATTAATCTGCTGAGCTATGCAGTCTACACCAACTGCTGCATGTGAAATCCATACAAATGTGGAACCCCTCGGGTAGCGGAGAGAAAAAGCCACTTTAGAAATTTATGAAAGATGCGTTAGAAAAAATCGTAACCATCCTAATATACATCTTGTAGAAAACTGGGAATACAAACAAATAATAAAGCACAAATCGGTTTTACACTGTGTTAATGAAATTCAGGACAGATACCACCTCCCAGAAAGACGTCAAGACATTCAGAATGTTGCAAGAAACCTACAACCACATGCTCGCTTTAAAGCTCCAGAAGTCCGAATTAAATTGGTAGGCGAGGAAACCAAACAGTCCGACCCAATCGCTCTTATGAACTCATCACTAAAGACCGTTGATTCTTACCCCCAAGAATGGATACATGTCTATACTGATGGATCAGCATTTAAAGCTACCATTAAAGCAGGTTACGGAATCTACATAGGTTATCGCGATGGATCTGTTGAAGAGATTTTTGATGCATGCGAGGAATTCTGTTCAAATTATGAAGCTGAAATAATTGCACCGGAAACAGCAGTATACCACTTAAAGACTGTAATGGATGTTTACCCTTTAAAGGTCCAAAATATTGTCATCTTCACAGATTCAATGTCTGCCCTTCAAGCTCTGGAGGGCAGTGAACGCTGCAAAACTGACATAGCCAAGATAATCCTGGATGCTGATCAGCTTATTACCTCATACAACATCAGAATAGTGATGCAGTGGATTCAAGGTCACTCCGGCACACCAGGTAATGACAGAGCTGACAGATTGGCAAAGAAAGGAGCAACACAAGAACAACCACCTACAGCGACAACCCTCCAGACAGCAAAAACACTGATAAGAGCTATAAACAAAGAGAATTGGTTGAACAGATGGGCCATGGGAGACACTGGAAGAGAGGTTTATAGACATTTGTCTGGCCCTGATCCTAATGACAGCATTAACCATCTAACAAGAAGGGACCAGGCCACCATCTCCAGACTTAGAACGCAACATACTCCACTCAATGGACGTCTAAACAGAATACAGCCACAACACTCCCCAGAGTGCCAGCTATGTAACTACCCCTACGAAACTGTTGAACATCATCTCTTTGAGTGCCTAAAACTCAGTGAGACAAGAAGAACGCTACTCCCTCTGAGACCAGACAAGTGGAACACCTTGTACGGAGGAAAAGAACAGCTTGTGAAAACATGCAAATTCCACTACATGGCATTGGGTCAAAGGGCGAAAGCTCATGCGCCGCTGGATCGATAACAACAACAACAACAACAATAATGATTGTAATAAATCAGACCTTTCTTGGTCTGCCTCCTCTCCAGTAGAGGGAAAGAGAAGAAGGAGTAGACCAAGAAAGACCTGGTTACAGAACCTGACTGACTAGGCAGGCCTCAGGCATGCAACCATGAAGTCCATCGCAACTGACCACCAAAGGTGGAGAGCTGATCAGACAGTCAACAGAAACTGGGGACCCAACGACACGTAGTGTTACTTGATGATGATGATGATAATGATGAATGAATGAATTCTTTGGCGTATATAATTTTACGTTATTGGTGTGTGCTCGTGAGCGAGGAAACCTTCAGAAAGCATAAGCTAGTTTCTGAAAATAAAATTGCCTAGTAAATTCTCCCTGTTGAGTTAAACTGATCTAAGAACCGACATCACAGCACTCGTGACATTCCCATAAGCGGTCAGGCTTCATCTTCAACAGCCAGCGACAAGTTCCAGTACGCTAAAACCCACAACAACCAGTAAATGCTAGTGGAAGGTATACTGAAGCCTGAAGAGGACATTCGACCAAATTTAGAGTCCTTTTCTTACTAAACTGGAAGCCGCTGTTGTATGGCAACTAGAAGCTTGCCCGCGAATCGGAAGGTCGTGGGCGTGGGTCCTTGTTGTGTTTAAAAAATGACCTTGGTTCCCAGGTCCAATAATCCTTAAGTGCATCTTAGGTACAGCGCTAGAAAGTAAAAGCGACCGGTGTGATGCTGACCACCTCACATATCAAGTGCCGATTGGTCTATAGAATATAGGTCTATCCCTATATGCCCAATACGCCTGAAGGCAACAAAAATGGTCCTTTACTGAACTATGCCTGAATGTTTGGATATAGCCGCTGTCTGTGGTTCTATTAATTTCTCCACTTTGGATCCGCCAGATGTTCCAGATCTACCTCCTGAACTTCGTGACACACATGCAGTCAAAGAAGGTCTTCATCGAGTGCGACATGGCTACAGGCTACATCCGCGTCAGCACCGAAACTATGAAAAAGGTTTCTGCAATGTTTTGCTCTGTGGCTTAGAGACTAACAAATGCTGTTAACAATTTCATGATTCTCCAGCACTTGGGTTCTTTCCCCATGGTTAACAGTTTCATGATTCTCCAGCACTTGGGTTCTTTCCTCATGGTTAACAGTTTTTAAAAAAAGATATACTGCATGTGTGGTTTTCGGGCACTTCTACAAAGACAGTGGTCTCATCAAATAAGATTCCCCAATACCCCTGCAGATAACCTTTATTTTGAAGACTACTCACTCAGGCATGTAATTTTATCTGCAATATTTATACGCCTTCTAAAAAAAAAAAAAAATATGCGGCCTCCGTTGCTTAGGCTTTGCGAGTTCAACTCGTAATTCCAACGTACCGCAAATTAAACCCACTGCTGGCTGCGTGGAATTTTTATCATGGTATGGGGCGTCGCAGGTCGACGCATCCTATGTATGTCCTAGGGAAGTAAAGATGGCTGGTGTAATGCTGGCCACATTACCCACCTAGTGCCGATTGGTCTGTAAAAATATGGGTGCTCTTCCCCTATGCAAGATGCGCCAAAAGTGTGAAATGGGATCTTTACTTTACTTACTTACTTTACTTTCTAGAAAAATTTTGCAACTTTTTTAGTACGAGGCAGATATAATTTAGTCAAAAATCTCTTCTAGAATGTTTTACTCTCAAGTAAAACATTTTTGAGCCAGAATGACGTAAATAAATAAGGTCACGAATGAGAAGTTAGTAATGAGAAGAGTGTGTCTGGTTGTAACAACTGGATGTAAAGTAAGTTAAGCATCTTTTTCCACATCTTGAGGGGTACTGGGCAGATAGGGCTAGACCTCAACTTTATAGATCAATCGTCACTCGGTGGGGGACTGGGGTTAACATGACACTGGCTACCTTTACTTCCAAGAACTCTACCTGGTACCTATTTCTGGCTAAGTCGGGCCGGGAGCTAAGGTCATTTAAAAAAAAAAGTCCAGCTCAGTCAGGGCCTGAACTCAGCGCTTACGGCTCCGCAAGCGAGCATCTAGCCGATACACCACGGCGGCACCAACCGGATATAGCATAGGAAAAAAATACACATAAATATCTTATGTAAGTAGAACCAGACACACGCATGTAGGTTGCTTGGTGTTGAATGAGTTGAGGGCGACATGACCGACTCGATTTGGAAATGGAGTGGGGAGGGGGGGGGGGGGAGGCTATAGTCCACCGGTCCTTGACAAGTATGTCACGTTGGTAACTCTAGTCCGTGCCCAAATTTCAAAATCTGTAACTTAGTAATAGTTCTGTGTAAGATGTTGAAATCTGGCATGCAACTTATCAATAATCATGCCATTGTAAAAAAAAAAATAATTAAATTCAAACATCTAATTCTCCAATTGCTCTTTTTTACTTTGTAAAGTCCATGCCGTGTGGAGTTGGTAGTCATGTCTATTCACAACCTTCTGTCTTGTGTACTTTCAGTCAACTCTGACACAGATGATCCTCCGTGCCATGATGTCAAACCACGCCCATCTTTAGGCTATTTATGGCCTAAAGATGGCCGTGGTCAAACTGACCAGCATCGTCTCTCTCGGTCTCCTTCTGCCTCCCCTCCTCTTCCGCTTTCCTACCGTCACGATGTACTCTAGTTTTCTCCTTTTTCACGTATGACCGAAGAATGTAGATTGTCTCTTTCTGAATTGGGCAATCAGTTATCTTTGTGAGTCAGTTTCTTTCAAGACGTCTTCATTACTCTTTTTAAATCCGTCCAAGGTATTCTCATCATTCTTTCATAAAACCACATCTCCAAATAAGTTTTCACTAATTTACTAACTTTTCATAATTCACATCTGTATATTAAAATAGGACTTTTGAAGCTTTCGAGAATTCTGAATTTGCCTCATTTTGGATATATTAAAAGATTCAAAGAAAACAGTGAACATGCTTATAGTTAACTGAGCAACGGGAACCGTTCAGACATTTAATTGTACGCATGTCATAGGCGGTTTACTCTCAGGTGGTCATCACCAGCATTAGCCCCCCTTGAGTTACGTGAACACAGTTTTTCGTAGTATGCGGAATACGCTATCAAAATAATCACAGTTCATCGCTGCACATTAAGCGCGGTACGATACGAACTGGTATCACTTAAACGCACCCAATATTTTCTTTTTTCATGTCGTGATATTTCGGGGAGATGAACTGAAGGTTTTTTATTATCTGTATACGTACGTGATGAGGGTAGTGGTTGTTTACACATTCCAACACACACACACACACACACATACACACACACATACAAACACATTTACACATACAGACATATATATATATATATATATATATATATATATATATATATATATATATATATATATATATATATATATATATATATATAATGTGCGTATGTGTATGTGGGGGGTGGTGGCAATGATAGGAATTATAAGATTTACAACGATAGCTGATGGAAACAATTAAAGGGCAGCTGCGTGTCCACCTCGAGTGCTAGAGGTTGCGGGTGTAATCCCCGGCAAGAGCTAGGATTTTTTTTCACACGGGCTTTGACTTCTAGCAATCCCCCCCCTGGTCTATGGGTAGTCAGATCCGACGCCCGTGTGTATTTTTGCACACGTAAAAAAAATCATTCAGCAGTTGGGAATCGAAAAGAGTAGCCTAACGGCCCGTGCACAAATTAGGAGTTAAAAAATCTACCCAAAATATTTCAGGATCCTCGCCGGTGCTACAGGGCCCGTGCACTGTGCTGAGCTTCTTCGGACTCAGACTTGAGTTAGAAGAAGAACGGAGCACTTATGGGTTACTAGACCCTCACACCAAACAGACACTGAAATATGATATAAATGAAGTGAGGAAACGAGGACGTCCAAAAGAAACCTTGAGGCGAACGTTGATGAGAGCAGTCAAAAATGCTGGACTGGTTTCCATCCACGAACATCGAACTGATTGTACCGCATATAACAGAATGGAAAAATACACTTCGAGCCCTGAGAGACATATAATGTCACAACGGGACAATGAATGCATATAACGGTGAAATTTATATTTACCTATGTAATTAATTCGCATACTTAGATACCGGGCATCGCAACCGACAGGGGACTGGTGATGGAGCTGAAGAACTTCTGCCACAAAAACAAGCTTGAGACAGCACAGCATCTTGGTAGGAGACAACAGCTTCTGTCACACAACACTTCATCTTCTTCTACTTTTGCTTCCATGTATAATGTTTTATGCACGCAGTGACCTCTATGCTGACTGAGCTAATAGAAAAAGTAAGGGACTGTTGTCCGTCTAAGACCTATATTTTATTTTTACCAGTCAGTACACGGTGGGTGTTGTTTTCAACACTACACCGACCCTCTTTACTTCCCAGGATTTTTACCTAGCACCTATTTAACGCCAAGCTCTTTGTGTGTGTTTGTGTGTGTGTTTGTGTGTGTGTGTGTGTGTGTGTGTTTAAAAAGTCCGGCTCTGTTTGGATTTTGTTCTCCAATCTATGACCCTCAGATCTGCAGGCGAGAGTGTAACACAACGGCAGATCATACGTACTGCCGAGGAGGGGTGAGGGGGGGGGGAGGGAGGTATGAACCGTTTTTACTTAATTTGTAATTCCCCCTGCAGGCTTCTTGGCACCTCTGGGGGCGGGGGAATAGACCCACTGCCTCCTAATTGCTGTTGGTACATCACAAGTAATGAAGACTACTCTATATTTTCACGGATGAGGAGCATTGTCTGGATCTTTTCTCCCGGTTATGCCGATGTGATGGGAAAAGAACTGGCGGACCGGCTGGCTGGCACTGCACAACTTGGAGGAATATTGATGCACGCTAAGACAGATATGGTTAGGGTATCGTGGAAGGACAATTTGGAGGAGTCAATGAATCACCAGTCTGGTGCAGCTGGGAGTGACGAGGGGATCTAGCCGATACTCGACGCTCAGAGAAAGGGCAAAGACGGGCATATAATCAGAATGCTACTGGCACCATTGGTAGTGCAACTCTGCGCTGGTTGTTTAAGAAGGGTACGGAGAGCTTAAGGGTATGCCCCGGGCGCTGTGATGTCGGTTCTTGAATCAACGCAGCTCTATCGTTCACCTGTCATAAAGTTATCATCAATTGTTTGTGAGGCCGAGGGTGACTTATAAGTCCAATACCAGCCCGGGGGGATTAACCCTCTTGGAAAAACCCAGTGTACATGGGGCCCCTTCAAAAACCAACTTATAGGAACTATAACTTGACATGCACATATTAGCGCAGTGGTCCTCAAACGGATAGGGTCCCATGGGTGAAGACGGCACTGGCTCAACATTCAAGGGAAATGCAAGACGGATTTACAATCGGACATTTACTGCTGCCATCAAAAGTGGAACTCTTCGCTTGCTGCTGAAGATAGGAACGGGGCGCTAATGGGAGTGTCCCGAATGCTATTTTGTCATTCAACATAGGGAGAGACAGAGAGAGGAGAGAGAGAGAGAGAGACAGAGAGGGAGAGAGAGAGAGAAATTTAGAGAGAAAGATTTAGCGGGAATGCTATTGTCTGTTTCACTTCTCCTATGACGTTACCCTTTCTCAGCTTTCTGCCAACTGAAACTGCCTGGCGTCGTGGCTGCGCTGAAGACCAGAATTGCCCTGAGATTAGTGTTGAATGCCATAGAACGGGCTCTGTTGGAAATAGAAGAGAGAGGCCTATTAGGGGAAATGGATGCAAACATAGTACAAAAAGTTGGTACCATTACTTTTTTCCCTAGTTTTCTTGTTGTTGTTGTTGTTATTGTTTTTGTTCTTGTTGTTGTTGTTGTTGTTGTTCTTCTTCTTCTTCTTCTTCTTCTTCTTCTTCTTCTTCTTCTTCTTCTTCTTCTTCTTCTTATTCTTCTTCTTCTTCTTCTTCTTATTCTTCTTCTTCTTCTTCTTCTTCTTCTTCTTCTTCTTCTTCTTCTTCTTCTTCTTCTTCTTCTTCTTCTTCTTCTTCTTCTTCTTCTTCTTCTTCTTCTTTGCGTTCGGTTTCGTATGCTCAGATCAAACCAACAGGTGCGTTGCCTGTATGAACTCACATGTCAATAGCAGGTCCTTCATGGTCCCCCATAGCTTGCTCTGCACACTTTGCTCTCGAGGCCAGATGTCTTTTAGAAGATGTATGTAGAGTGGGCAGGTCTGCAGAATGTGCTCCGGTGTTTGACAGGCACACTGTGGGGACTGTACAATCTTTATTTCATGTATGTGGTAGTTGAGCCTGCAGTGTCCTGTTCGTAGACGGACAATTGTTGAATGCTGCTTTCTGTTGAGTCTGATGGTGGGGTCTTGTGGATGTTTACTTCTAGGAGAATTGGCTAGAGAAAGAGACACTTTTAGGCGTGCCGTGAAGAGAGCGACATTCTGTAAACAATTATGATGATAATAAATACATACTAAGCAAGCCATAATCTCCCGTCTCTCATTAGGAGATCTCCCTGAAGATAATGGCAGCACAGAATTTTCCTTACGTCATAAATGCCTGTTCCACTCGGTCATTGCTCCAGAATATATCATGGCTAGACAGAGACGAACAACTCCTGCATGAAATTGAGGTAAGTCTTCTGCTCTGCTAGTTGTTAGTTTCATTTTCACCATTACTAAGCAGCCGCCTTCGTACTCATAATCATTGATCATTACTACTTTGGATAAAAGTGGTCTTCATCACTCGTGATGGACGAACAGCAGTTTCATTTCGTAGTCGGCTTCTGTTGCGTTGAGAACTCGATTCGTAATCCGGGGTCCTTGGTTCCATCTCCTAGCTGCAGAGCGATTTGGCAGCAGACTGTCTTGCCTAGGTTTTGAAGTGGTACAGAGGGCTAACCGCTCAGCCAATGGCAAACTACTGAACGTAAAATCTGCTTTGAAAAACCACAACAGCCATACACACAAAATGCTAGGGCAGATTCTGCAAAGCCCTGGAAGGGATAGGCACCTAACAAATTTTCATTTAGTGCATGAAATGCTGTGGCGTTGTTTTTTATATACGGTGCATGGCAAGTCGATTTCTCTGTTTCGTTTTAATTACTGGCGTGACTGAGAAAGTCTCTAAATATAATAGGATGTCAAATAGGATGACCCGCGATATGATCGCTATGTAACTCAGAGGCTGATTCTTTTAAGAGTGTTAAAAATCTACCCAGAGTATTTCAGGATCCTCGCCGGCGCTTAGAGCTCGTGCACTGCGCTGAACTTCTTCGGACTCAGGCTTGAGTTAGAAGAAGAATGGAGCACTTATGGGTTATTACCCGTGTGCCATGATGTTGTTCCGTTGTTCAAAACCTCAAACCAGGAGTGATATTTAACAGCTGAGACAAACTGAGATATACAGCCGTTACATGATTAGTTAGTTAGCTAGTTAGTTAGTTGGTTAGTCTTTCCTCTTGAGCCTAGGGCGGCGTATAGGGCAGAGGTCATAGCTCTGGCGGCTCGTTGCCACCTGTTTAAGGTCTTGTATGTTCGTCGGGCCATGGCTGAGCTTTTCCTTATAAGGTTCTACGCAGGGGGTCTCTCTCTCTCTCTCTCTCTCTCTCTCTCTCTCTCGCTCTCTCTCTCTCTCTCTCTCTCTCTCTCTCTCTCTCTCTCTCTCTCTGGGCCTTCACCGTTTTCTGTTCCCTTCCGGTGCCATATGAAGGCTTGATGCACATTAACCAAATGTGCAGCAAGAAGAACAATCAAGTACAGTAAATTGATTGTAAATTTAGGTTACGATCACCACCCATTTATCCCTTACACGGGACATACATTTTCCCATAATTGATTGGCACCTTTCAGTCTTTCCAGACGATAGTGTTATATCGCGCTATGAGGAGGCATGGGACTTACAGCCCATGGCGATGGCGAGTGTGACTAGCAAGACCCGTCCGTGTCAAGACAAGTCTTCCACAATGATAGCGTGGAATTTCAGGACCATTGTTGTCAACATTTGTTTCTTTTCAGATGCTTAGCTCTCATCCTTTCTGCGATCATTTTTTCCTTCACTCTCATTTCCTTTCTGAAAGGCCCTTTCCACACAACACTGTCCATGGCATCCTCCCCCTCCCAACCACATGAGTCGACCTCAATACCTGTATCATTCATGTACCGCCTGCACACATCTTTATACCGTAGTAGAGGTCGGCCTCGACATCTTCTACCTGTCTTTAATTTGCCATAAAGGATGTCCTTAGGTACTCTACCATCCTCCATTCTCCAGGTGTGACCCAGCCACCCGAGTCTTCAGACAGCATAGAAAAGATTGTTGTAGTTCCTGCTCCTTCCAATACCTCAGTGTTTGTGCTTTTCTCCTGCCACTTAATGTGAAGTATTCTTCTTAGTCATCGCATGTGAAAACTATGCCGTCTCTCCTAGTGCAAATAGGTTGACCAAGTTTCACTGCCGTAAAGCAGAGTGCTGAGAACACAAGCCTGATACACAAGGGTTTTTGTTTTAATCGTGAGCTTTCTGTTCCCCCAAACTATCTTTAACATTCTGCTCATTGTTGTTGCTGCCTTACCTATCTTAATGTTGATTTTTTGGTCCAGCGATAATTTGCTATTCACTGTGGAACCCAGATAGATAAAATGATCTACTGTCTCTAGCTCTTTACCGTCAATGTAGACTGTAGGTCTATCATTAACAACTTGCACCATAACCTTTGTCTTCTTTTTGCTGACTGTTAGACCAAATTCACAGCATGCATCAGCAAAGGCAGATAGTAAACATTGCAGCTCCTCCTCCGAGAGGGTGGTTATCGAGGCATCATCTGCAAACAGCAGCTCTCTGATAAGTACCTTCATTATCCTGGTTTTTGCCTTCAGCCTGCGAGCATTGTAAAGGCTGCCGTCAGATCAAGAATTTTCCAATAAAATGCCTTACATAATAACTACTGAAGTAATTATTATACGGAAATTCTGCTTCTTCTTTCCTTCGCTTTAAATAAATTATCAATATCTGCAATGTTGCCACTAATATGAACTTCATTGAATTTAAAAAAAAAAATATTAACTTAACGGCCTGAAAAGTTTGGCTTTGACCTTTCTCTATTGACTATGTGTTTTGCCTGGAAATGTATTTGGGACATTTTTGGAGGATTTGATCTTTTGTCTCATGCGCCAGTCCACATGTCCGTTTTGGTGGCTTTCTGACTCTTTGATTATTCACTTCTTCTGTTGATAAGAGACTAACTAGTACGCAAGATTGTTCTTCAGCTGCACATTCCTTAGCTAGTTTATTAGCTTTTCATTTTCAGGAACTCAACAGTGGGACTGTATCCATTCCATAGCTACCTTAAACCGGTTGCCTAGTTCGATGAGTAGTGGACACTCTTTATACCTCCGTAGTTGTTAGAGTGCTTCATGTTGGTATTTTGGTCGTATCCCTGGTATTACGGGGGTGTTCAATGTACACTCCCACTCCTGGGTTTCTGATTGCATTTTATGCTGACCCATCTGCATAGACACGACCCTCAAAGATACTACGGGTATTCATCATCAAGTAGACCGGCTTGGCTGTTTTGCGCTTCACACTGTTTTGTTCTTCCTGGTCCATTGCTCCTTTCACTTCCGTCTGTATGTGGATTGGAAACTTGAATTCCTCTTTACACGGGATCCGTTCTGGAACAGCATTTAGGGGCTGTCAGCTGCAAGACAGATCAGTAGTTTGTCTGCAGAGCCGTTTGCCTAGTTGATGAAAATTCTTGATTTTAGTCCGCCCACAGCTAAATTTTGGAATCTTGTATTAATTGTGTGTCCAGGCATGATAAGACAATATTCTGCTTGTATTAGTATCTTGGTGTCTCTGCGTTCGTTCAATGCTTGTTATAATAATGTTTTTAGTTAGACCTGGAGGTCTAATAGCGATTCTCATGTCCTTGTTCTTCGGGTGTTAAATACACATTTCTTGACGAGACGCCAATTTGGTGATACGTTATTTTATTGTGGTTTCGACAATAGTTTCGTCTAGTCGCATACCTGTGTTCTCATTCGTCTTGTTAGGATCGATCGTCAGTACAGTTACATCAAACGCACGCTGTATTCAGAGAGTGGTTACCTTGCATTTTATGCGTTCCATTCATTAGAAGGACTTGTATCTCCAACACAGCGCTACAAATCTTCACCGTCGTTCGGGGTGTCACTTCAAGATAGCTTCTGCTCAGTCATTTGTCCTGAGATATCAGGGACTTCTTCACGTATCAGCAGTCACACTGCAGGGCTGTCATTTGTCTCGCAGAATTCTACCTCTTACTCCGGCTGTGAAACACCAACTGATTCTATCTCCTTTCTCATCTTCAATCCTTTGTTCTCATCCGACAGGTTTCGGCTCGCAATCTTCATTAAAGCATAGAATTTATGGAGCGTTCTTTTCCCAGGTTTTCTCTCTTGACTGACCGTTGACCCTAATTTGTCATATTGGAGACCCTTTGGGATTCCTTGGAATCCCCCCTCATTATACTCGTGTCATCCCCAGTTTCTCCCTCACACACACACACACACACACACACACACACACACACACACAGAGATTTTAAAGCACTTGTTGATTGTGCATTTTGTTTAACTCCGTGAAGTATGTTTTTTTTTTTTTAATGCTCAACCCATACAGTTGACCCGTGTTTAATGTTTAGTCGAACATTTTGTTGATAAACTTTCCTAAGTATTTTTCCACTAGCACCCCAGATGATTCCACCTAATTTTCTCAGGATAGTTACACCCATTTTGGCTTTTGTTGCTGCCTTGTTGATGTGTGTTTTTTTTTCCATGTTAACCTGTCATCTAACTTGTGTTTTTTTTTTAAAGTGATGTCTTAATGGTATTCCTGATTTTCGTTTTGGGGAGAGGGTAAAAAGGGTGGTGCTACACTTGTCTATGTTGATGCTAACACACTATTTATCAGCCCATGCAGCCATTGCATCTATGGCTCTTAATAACATTCTATCAGCCACTATTGCATATTCATTTGTGCACTGTAGAACCAAGTCATCGGCATACCTCGCAGCTTTAATTACATGGAGGAGTTCAGCAACTAGGTCGTCGATCTAAACTAGAAGGATTGTGGAAGCCAGGACACCACCTTGGGGGACACCATGTCGCAGCAAGACTTTCTTGCTCCTGGGTCCATCTATCTGCACTTCGGCTCTAGTGTTATATAAGCGTCTGTGCATATTCCCGTTTACTTTGTAGTTTCTCCGTTTCTTTATGAGACCTTCTTTTCAGACCTTCTCAAAGGTTTCTTCAGGTCTGTCCTTGCCGCAAACACCAGCTTCTTTTCCTAAAAGACATCCTCAGTTTTTTTTGTTTTTGCGAAAGGTACGTTGTCAGATCTTCTGGGGAGTAGCACTGCCTAAAGCCAGTCTGCTGTGGGGTAAAGATGCTTTCAATTTCCTTAAAGAAATTGATGGATAAAGAGATCCCGCCAACGGACGGAAAGTTTTCAACCAACAAAGAGAAAAGTGGCACAGTTGTTATACTGAAAGAAGCTAGCAGTTTTTCAAAAACATTTTAATAATTATATTAGCAGTTAAATGTGTTGTTATAAAATAGTTGGTAGAGGAAAGAAAACAACAGTATTGTGGAAGGAAAAAATAAAGTTGCAGTCAAGAAGCAAAAATATGTTCAAATAAATAGTTAAAAAACAATAACAGTAGAGAAATATACTGTATACGAATAGGCAAGAAGAGAGCAAAAGAGATAATTAAATAACCAACAGAAGAATCGTAGACTACACATGCAAAAATTTTGTGTGTGTTAAACTCATGAGTTTTTTCTGTCACAGTGCAGAGGAACCATCATCAAGTTTTACGCCAATGATGTCATTGTAACCCAGGGTCACTCCGCTGGAGGCTTGTTTATTGTTCTTAATGGCCTTGTCAGGGTCAGTATTTGTATTCGTAGTTCGTGATCAGTTCATCTACACAGGTCTACATATGTTTTAAACCTTTCTTAAATGTTTGTATATTCTAGACAAAGCATTAAGGTCTACTATGTTCGTAAATTGTTGCTGTGATTGTTTATCAACATATGCTTCGTTAAAATAAATTTCTGTAACCTATGGTGCCATTTCATTGGTTTGAAATGAATTCTGTCCGTATTCCATAGTTGTGGATTTCAAGCTGTACGATCGACATGGCCAATAAGACACCTTTTTTTGGGAAGGGGGGGGGGGAGGGTGCCTAGTTGACCATGTTCTTAATGCACTTGTATTCATGGCGAGGCGCAGACGCTGTCTGGAAGTGACAGGTTTAATTCCTGGCATGGTAACTATAGCTTTCGATTTTTATGTTGTCTTGTGTGTTCTTCTATCTATCTAATTCTTTCTTTGAGTGTCGATCAATACATTTACTTAATTAATTCATAATACGTATGTTTAACAGCAGTGTCGATGTTCGTTAGACGTTAGTCGAGGTTTCCAGCTTCACTGCTGTTGGGTCGCCTCATCATTGCTCTGTTTCTGTGCCGGTAAAAAACAGTCAAATGTTTTTTTTTATTATCCTATTTGAAAACTTGCGAAAAAACATGTAAGTCCCAGCAACATTTCGAAACTCGTCACGCAAAATAAATGCATAAGACAGCCGTCTTATGTGTCAATACTAACAGTCCACAACCAGAACTACCGCTGACTGTTGTTGCAAGCAGATAATTATGAAAACCGATATAATACATACAAAGCAGTCGCAAGACAAAGACACAAAACATTCCACATGCAATCCACAGCTCACTGTATCAAACCAAGCATTTAACCCAGTTGCTGGGCGACGGAACCCTTGGGCTCCGATCCACAAATAGGGAATTTGCATCAGCAAGCCGTTATAAGAAACAACTGTTCAGAGCATCAGCAACAAACCCGCTATCAGTCCTATCAGATAGGAAGCCCGAGGTCTAAATTCGTTGTCCATGTTCAGTTACACAACATGTGTCAACATATTACGCCTATAGCCTTTGTTCGTCAATAGTTTGTTCAAGTCATATCTATATTCGTAAACCTTTTATCACATTTTGCTATTCTTCTCCCCCTCTTCTGTTTTGTTCCTTCTCCTTCCCTGCTTTCTTCTTTTTCTTCTTCTTCTTCTTCTTCTTCTTCTTCTTCTTCTTCTTCTTCTTCTTCTTCTTCTTCTTCTTCTTCTTCTTCTTCTTCTTCTTCTTCTTCTTCTTCTTCTTCTTCTTCGTCTTTTTCTTCTTCGTCTTCTTCTTTTTTCTTTTTTTCCTTCTTCTTCTTCTCCTCCTCCTCCCCCTTCTCCTACTTCTCATCCTCCGCCTCTTTCCCATCTACTACTGTTTTGTGGATATCTAACTTTATAAAACAATGTTGAGAACTAATAAACTGTGTAATGACAATATTTTGAAGAAAACGATAATCCAGAATCTGATTTCGCACCACGAGAAGTGGAAGAGAACTCGAGCTTGTCTTGACAACGAGAAACTGACGAGAAGCGAGGAATAGAAGGACCAAAATGAAAACATGTTGAACGGCCTGGAATCGCGCCTTGAATGAACAACTCTGATTTAAATGAATATCACATTTGACAGAAGGTTGTGGACATGGCATGATTACCAACGCTAAATGCCACTGAATATAGGAATAATATTGGGATCAAACATACGATATACATTTATCAACATATTGCAATTTGGTAGAGAACTGATAACATTCCAGTGAATCAAAATTTGAAGAAAACACTGGCGTTGGACAAGACAAACGTTATGAAAACACGAGAACAATTTAACTGATATGTATGTGTATTAATTGATGTTTTTTTAATGAGTGTGTACATGTGGCCAAATCTTCGTGTATGTATTTATATTTTCACGTGACGCTTGCCAGTCAGAGAGTCAGCGAAATCTGGACAATATTTACTCAGCCGTCAACGATAAAGGTAACGGAACAGTGTGACGTGTATGTAAACTGTCTGAACTGTACTGTCACTACTGTCTGCATGTAGAGCTTTTTTTTTTTTTTTAAGGCGGTGTGGAAAGGGGGTCGTGATACTGAGTAATTATGACAGCACGGCTAGCGCTGTCACCACGGGCTGTACAGGTTAGAATGGGTAATGGTTCTTTTCTGTTTAGAGACATCAGTGGTGACTAAGGGACATCCCATTTTATGGGGAAGGGAGGGGGCGGGCGGGCGGGCGTGCGGGCGAGGGGTTAGAGTTAGTGTTAAATAAATAGCGAGTACTAATAACCCTAACCCCCCCCCCCCCACCACCATAATATAGGATGTCCCTAAAACATATGTTACGTGGTCGCTTAACAGAAAAGAACCTGTTTAATTTTGCCCTGACTGAAAAAAAAACCCCATCACTTTACTGGGTTTTCCGCATAAGAGCCAGACGTTGTAACAGCTCGGCCAGCAGTTCCTCTATGTAAATTGTTCCGCTGGAGAGTCCAATGTTTCACTCTGTCACGTTTCACGTAAATCTTTTCAGATGTAAAATCTGTCGGTATTTTCTCAGATGGGGTGAAGTCTTTGCAACATTTGTTTGATACCAATAGTTCTGCTCTAATTCTCACAACTGGATCAAAAAAATCTAGTTGTATTTTGTTTCTTGCTCAAAACTCTTCACTGTTTGTAGGAAGTCAATCCTTCTTAAATGTAGCTACTTCTTTCCAGTTGACAAGAATCAATGTTCTGTACTGTTCTTTTGTAACACTGATGTTGTTTACTGCCAGGTGTAAAAATGGTAGTCTGAAAACTGTGTCCTTGATTCTTGATTTAAAACTGCCACAGGGCTCAATTTGGACAGATTTTGAAATATTTTCTCGGTGGGAAGTATACACTCAATTTGATCGAGAGATTTTTCTAGCACAGACATGCATTTTTCTTTTATATATTTTTGTAAATTTCTAACCTAGCTTCAGCCCCGTTATTCTTCTGTAGGAACACATTCTATTCTATTATGAATTTAATAACAAAGTCAACGCGATGAATATTTTTTCCCCCCCTGCTCATTGACATCATACAGTCTGTTCTCGAGACTTTTCTGGTGCATGGACAATTCTTGGTGTAATTAATGAGGATCAGCTTTTGCTTCTTGAAAAAAAAAAAAAAAGTGTTGTCTTTCAAATTCTTGTACAATTGGTGTCGCAAACACAAAGAAGAAATAATTATTGTGGTCTAACAGCATTTCCTTTAACAATCCTTCTTTCTATTTTGTGTTAAACGTGTCTGGACTAATTCAGCTCATGTGAAAAATACGCTTTCAGTTCTTCCCAGTTCACCAAGATATTAAACATTATCTTTCCACGCTCAAGCCACATAGTAGATAACAGTTTTCTTTATTGGAAGAGGAGCAGTTCGTGATGGTTCAAACTCCGTAAATGTGTTCATCACTCTAAACACTTCTTTTTAGGCTTCTCGTCTTAAATCACTATGGCGAAATCACTGAGGTATTTCTGAGAGTAGGAAACCAATACTTCATAACAGCTTGGCAGCTGCATTACAAATGCAGGATGCTAATGAATGGCAAATACATTTGGGCTGTACACAAAAAGAAGACACATCTTCAATTCTAGAGCACACAGAGTTCTGCGTATCGGAAGGTCATGAGCTCGAGTCCTGATGGAACCGGGCTTTCTTCAAAAAACGACCTTGGCTCCTAGGTCGACCCAGCAGTTAGTGGGTACCAGGTGCAGTCCTGGGAAATAAAGGCGGTCGGTGTGATGTTGACCAAATCACCCACCGAGGGCCGATTAATCTATCAAATATAGGTCTAGCCCTATATGTCCAAAACGCCAGAAGGCGTGTAAGAGGGTAATTTACTTTTTTCTATATATGGACAGAGCCAGGGCCCCATTGAAAAAAAATGGTTGATGGTGTGTGTGGTGTGGGGTGGGAGGGGGTAGACCCATTGATCCATCGTCAAGCAAACCGTAAAGTGCGATTAACTTGGAGCTTGCTGAAATCGAATGTAGTGTGTTGAAGGGCGCAGATATCGCAGCCTAGCTGTAAACCACAACACACAACACAACTAGCCATCCGCCCTTTTACCAGCGATAGCAGAAGAATAATTTGTATCCGTATGTCCCATTCAAACAATAACTGTGCTTTTTTTAAATTTTGGTTGTTTATGGATGATTCTGCCACATACTTCAATATATAATTTTTTTTTTGTTTGTATATAATTGTGTCACACAGTAGTCAGGGCCGTACTTAGAGAAGTATCACACCATGGTATGGTCCTTTATTTTACGATCCTGTTCCCGCGGGTTAAAAGCATCTAGTGTAATGTTGACCTCATCATCCACCGAGTGCCGACAGGTCTATAAAATATAAGCCTAGCCCTAAATGCTCAATACGCCCTATCATTCCAACACCAGTACGAGCACCAAGAAACAGATTATATATAGCAAATTCATACCAACACTGTACTACCAGTGCCAGACTTGGACTTTATCCAAGGCTAAACTGCGTAAAATTAACACCTGTAAAATTAGTTGTCTGAGAAAAGCCGCCAGCTTAACAATCTGAGACACCGTTAGAAAAGATAGTATCACACTGACTGTAAGAACAGCACCATGAGAAACATCACCATTGAGATCAATGATCAAATGATTTGGTCAGCTAATGAGAGTGCAGCTATGACGACTACCAACGCAGCCGCTACACATGGCAATATCTGAAGTGAAATCGAGAGGTTGCCCTAAGAGAACGGGACTGATGGCATTAAAGAGCTTATACATCGACACAGAATGCCAGCCGCCATTGGTGTCCTCCAAGCTATGAATGGCTAACTGGTCTTCACTCTCGAGGCTTAATGGCAGAAGTGGAAATCGATGACGATGATGTCGATGAAAACAATCAACAACTCTCTTTGTATAATTATGACACATACAACAATATACTCTTTTCTTAAGCTGGGGATCGATTATGTCACACGCAACAATATAGTATCATCTTTCTCCGCATGGGTTCTGGGGTTCCATTGTGAGAGAAGAACTAAAAGAATAAACCAACATGTCGTCAAATGTAGATAATTATGGGCTGGCGGAAATGGAATGTGCTGGTCCGAAAAACACAAAAACTGCAGCCAAACTAAACCTACATGACAACGCAACTACCGCCTTTTTAAGAGCGAACCAAAAACACTTTTTGCGTATATTTATGTATCATTGTGTCTACATACAGCCGTCTACTACTACCACAGAAAGCTGTCTCTTGATGCATCATCTAATGTTAGCGATTTGAGTCAGCTAATTCTGCATGGTTTCTGCAGAATAATCTTTTATATTTATGTATCATTGTGTTACATACATTGATCTACAACTGCAGCGACCACAGAAAGCTATATCTTAGTGAGGCAACTAATGTTAGCGATTTCAATCCGCTAATTCTGCACGGCTTCTGCAGAACTATTCCTTTGTATTTGAGGATTTATTTATCATTGTGTCACACACGGCGATCTGCTAGAGCCGCGACCACAGAAAGCGGTCTCTTGGAGCGTCAGACAATGTTAGCGTGGTGAGTCCGCCAATCCTGTACAGTTTCTGGAGAATTATATTCTTATATTTATGTATCACTGTGTCGCATACAGCGATCTACTACTGCAGCGATCACAGAAAGCGTCTCTTGGTAATGTTAGCTAATCCTGCACGGTTTCTACAGAACTATTCTCTTATATTTATGTATCATTGTGCCCACATACAGCCGTCTACTACTGCAGCAGCAACAGAAAGCTATCTCTTAGTGGGGTCACTAATGCAAGCGACTTGAGTCCTCTAATCCTGCACGGTTTCTGCACTAGAGGAAACATTATTGGCGAGCTAGCTTTTCTGAATGAGAGGCCGGAGCACAAAACCTATCGTTGCGCTACTTATGTCGAGGTTAGTATGTATAATGATTGTTGCTGCTGCTGCTGCTCTTTAACGAATTACATGCGTAATAGCTTGTGCTCGGTTGTATGAATTTGGAATGATGGGTCTACAACCAGTGCAAAGGACCCTTTTCCACTCCTTTAGGCATATATGGTATATAGGGCTAGACCTATATTTTATAGACCAATCGGCACAAGATGGGCGATGTGGTCAGCATCACACCGGCCGCCTTTACCTCCTATAACTGCACCCGGTACCCACTAAAAGCTGGGTCGACCTGGAAGTCAAGGTAATTTTTGAAAAAAGCCAGGCTCCGCCAGGGAGCGAACCCACGACCTTCCGATCCGCAGACGAGCGTCTAGCCGCTCCGCAACTGTGACTTCCCTACAACCAGTGGGCTACTGGACAATTTGTCATCTACATTTTAACTCATTCAATGACAAGGAATGCACATTACGACACTGCTTATTCTGTATATGGTGGTATACACCCCACACCCAACCCCACCATCCTTTTATTCTGTCATGGAAACCATCGTGGTTTATCGGCTAGATAGTCATCTGTGGATCGGAAGGTCATGGGTTAAGGTTCTGAGCAGCAGGCAACTTTACGCCTGCAGAGCTTGAGCCTTCGAAGGGAAGAAAAGGTACTTACTCTAACAGAAAAAAATAATATTAAACGCAAGAACAATGCAAGGTGGCTCTGTCTAGGGTTTGATTGAGCTCATCACATTGCTATACTGACGTTTTTAATTATATAAAGTCACACCAGACAACAAAACCGTAGTTATTGATCTTTATTCGCTGTTACAACAATCGCACTGTCCAGTCGCTCACTTGTGTTCTCATGGATGCACGCTTGGCTGATTTACGACATCATTTCCAACTATCTCACACTGCGATTCTCTCTGCCACTACCTTTCGGATCATACATCTGTATCAGGCTAACATGGTGTTCCTTGTACCTGGACACAATCAAACATGCAGTCATTAGACATTCATTTCTACTCTTGAACAATTACACGTGGTCAGACGGTCTGCATTCTTATCAGCTGCTTTCTCACATTCGACCGCACACATCCAGGTCCAATTTCAGCTGATTTCCTATCCTCTCTGGGTTCACAGCTTCCGTTCAAGTCTCACACTTTTCCCTTACCTCTATTCACCCAACACGGAATACTCGAGACCTGCTTATCTCGCTTTCCTCTTGTATCCCCGCCAGTCGGGAACCCTCTGGGATTTCACTGAGAATTCACAACATTACAAACAACAATCCTAATCACAGAAAAGCAAACACTGAAATAACAACCGACTGAAAAGACACATTTTACGAAAAACAGTGACATCCTTTCTAAAGACCCTTCAACGTGGTAAATGATCCAGGCATACAACAAAGACCTACAGCCTAACTGTACAGTGTTAACAATCCCCGGCATAGACAGAAAGGCTGAAGAATGTGACCTAGTACTGCATTCAAAGACCTTTGAACATGTCAACAACTCTTATCAAAAACCTAAATGGACACACGTATATACCGATGGATCATTTGAGGGAGCAGGAAAAAAAAAACGGAAGAGCTCGTTCGCTTATCATGCTGCAACATAGGACTACAGTAGAAACGTCATGTGTCTAGACCAAACTCTCTATAAACTCCAGAGCAGAGCAACAATCAATTGTTGATGCAGCCAAAGTGCTTGAGGAAAAAAAATTAAAAACGGAAAAAATTGCTAGTGTGTGACCGTAAGTCAGTCCTCCAGGCGACTCAAAGGGATCCACGGGACAACATGGAGAGAGAACTGACCCGCCAGCTAAATATATCTCACAAAACAATCAAATCGTTCTCCGGTGGATCCCAGCTCACTACTGCATACCAGGAAATAAGTTGGCTGACAGACTCGCAAAAAAATGGAACAAAGGAGAAACAACATAGCCATTCATGTTCATTGCCAGAAATCAAAATACTTATCAAGGGAAAATACAAGGAATTTTGGACGGAACAAACCAACAGTTAACATCCACAAGACCACCATCAGCAGACTCAACAGAAAGCAATATACAACAGTTTTCCGTCTACGAACAGGACATTGCAGGCTCAACCATCACACGCATAAAGTAAAGACTTTACAGTCCCTACAGTATGCCTGTCAGACCGGACCACCAACAGCACATTATGTGCGAGTTCATAGAGCTAACCCACCTGATGGTTTGACCTGAGTATACGTAACCGATCGCTAAGGAAATGAATGCGCGCTCAGAGTATTTGATTATTTACACAGACGTTTCAGTGTCAAGAGGCAAAAGAAGGGCTTGGGGCTTTTTAGCAAAAGTTAATGGTCTACGTTTGGTGCAGGAGAGCCTAGCACATGATACCACAACATTCAGCTTAAGAATGGAGGTGGAGGCGGTCACTGCAGCTTTCAGCTGGCTAGAGAACACGACACACACACACACACACATTGTGATTGTAACTGATTCCGAAAGCATGCTGGGGAAGATCAGAACAGGTATGCTTCGTGCAGAGTGGCATGCTTCGCTGCAGAGGACACGGGTGAGGAGTATTGTCTGGATTTTTTTTTCACCGGGTCACGCCGGTGTGTTGGGAAATGAACAGGCGGACAGACTTGCTGGCTCTGCACAACTTGGTGGAAAACTGCTACATGGTAGGGCAGACGTGGTTAGTGCCTTGTGGGAGAGCGTGTACAATGAGGAGGAGCAGATGGATCACCACAGTTTGGGGAGATTGATGCAGTTGGGGGTGATGAGAGGTTCTGGCAGAAGCTCAAGGCTCAGAGGGAAGGCAAGACGGGCGTTTAATGAGAAAGCTACTGGCACCATTAGTATCAGAACTCTTCGATGGCTGCTGAAGATAGTGACGGAGTGCTTATGGGAATGCCCAGAGTGCTGTGATGTCGGTTCTTGAATCAAATCAATCAAATCAATCAATCAATAATTATGACATGTTAAGCCCTTTTATTTCAGTTGTGACTTTAACATCTGGTGTCCCAAAGCTGTTATTTAAGCTTTATGAGACTGTCTTCGCTTCGCGTTGGTTCGAGGTGGGGTGGGGGGGGGGGGGAGACATTGTGGGGAGAAACAAGAATAGCCCCGCTGCCTTCCTAACACGCACGTGGTAAGAGTGGACTCTTAAGTTTCCTTCGAAGACGGAGTGAATTTGCACGAAAAACAAGGACCTAACAGTTTCTGCACAAATAAAGCAGATCTGTAAAACGGAAGGGCACGGACAACTTAAGTACTGGAACAAGACTGATATTCAGAGGCCGAACAACCATACATCGCTGCCACAGTTTACAACCGATGAAGGAAAAAAGGAAGAACTAGAGGCTCTATCAGACTAAACTTTTTGGTACCCTACGATACAAAGACTTTTGCATTGACCTCGTGGAATTCAACAGTCTAACATAGGACCGGAAGAGTTAGGACATTATCAGACAAACTGAAGCACTCTGGTCTTCAAAGTTCGGGGGCTGAACCGTGCGGCCGACACACTATCTTCGTAAAACTTCATTTACTCACGAAACAGATGTATATATATATATATATATACATATAAGCTGGGATTTCTGATTGGACTTCAACGAGCAACGTCGCTGGAATTTTGTATGCAAAGAGGTTGAATAGACTTAGATCACTCTGAATACCAGGACGACTGTGAAGAGAAAACATCGAGGCAGATCTACAGAAACTTGGAGTCACTAACTGAAATGAATCAAGACGGATGACAATTGCAAAAACGAACATCAAGGGCTGGGAAAAGACAAAGAATAAAAAGAAGAAGAAGAAAAGAAGAAGAAGAAGAAGAAGAAGAAGAAGAAGAAGAAGAAGAAGAAGAAGAAGAAGAAGAAGAAGAAGAAGAAGAAGAAGAAGAAGAAGAAGAAGAAGAAGAAGAAGAAGAAGAAGAAAAAGAAGAAGATGAAGAAGAAGAAGAAGGAGGAGGAGGAGATGGAAAATCTCCATTTAAAGACTCAACCCCCCCCCCCCCTCCCCCAACATTTTCAGACCTTTTTCATCAGCAGCCTTGACCTAACTGAGATATCCAAGAGAAGCTGCGATCCCGAGGACCCTTTGACGCCCCTAGAGAAGAAGATCTGGAGAACGATAGCAATTCGTCAGGCAGCCCGCATGATTTACAGTGGAATATTAAGCTCTGTAAGTATGTCTTTTCTGCGGCCTAGGGCTCCAAGGTGTAGGATAGAACTTCTCAAGTTGAGATTTGGAAGAGCCCTTAGTACAACCCAGTGAATCAAGATTTGAAGAAAAGACTCTTTGGACGTAACAAATTCAAGGACTCTAGGAAACACAAGAAAAATGCAGGACCAACCCTAGCGGTTTTGTGTGTGTGGTTTTTCTGGGCACATTTTACCTTCAGCAGTTTGCTACTGCCTACAGAACGGTCAGCTCTCAGTAAACTGTCGAAACCAACGAAAGACAAACCGTTCGCTGCTAGGATCGAACCCGGCACCCCGGCATTAAGAAGTGCACTTAACGAAAAAGCCACAGACACCGAGTTCCCGGTAAAGCCCTTACAGATAACGGTAGCGCACATTTCGGGAAACTAGGTGCTGTTATGTCACCAATAAAGACCTGAAAACCTGTCTTCTCATATAGCCGTTTTTTCTGTGTAAAACTGATAACTTCGAGTGACTCATTAACGTTGAAAGATATCAACCGTTGATGAACGCTGAAAACCTCAGAGGCAGAAAGGAAGGGTCCGTCGAAGTCGGAGTGCATCTGCCTGAGAGGCAATCCATCAGTAGTCTGCATATAAGTTTGATCTGTTAAACAGAGTTGCATGCAACACTTAAGTCCTGGAACAAGACAAAAGTCGAGAAGTGGACGAACAACCAAGAGTTTCCGACCGAGACTTCAGCCTACGAACACGAAGCAGAACAAGAAGCAGAAAAAGAAGATGAAGAAGAAGATCATTCTCATTAAAATTACTTTATATGTAATCATTGATTTTTGTTGTAATATTATCCTTCGTTACGTAAGGTAATATAGTTTTTATGTGGGGGGGGGGGGAAATTAAAAATCATAACCTGCACAGTTTGTGGCGACAGTAATAGCCAGACGGCCCTAAATCCTCAGGCTCAAGGCCCCCCTGTCTACACCGCCCTAAAAAGTGGTAAAACGCAGTAGTGACAGTTTTGTCCCCCTTTGTGTCCTTCGTCATCCAAATTGTCTGTGTACACTAATACTGTTATGGACGATTTAGAAACAAACAAACATACACACACACACAATTTTAAGACTCATTGTCTTTTTTTTCTTCGCGTTCACCAGCTGTACACTCTTTCGGAAAGTTCTGGTGGTTCGTCCACTTCTAAAGTGCAGTCCTGCTCCAGAATTTGATTGTTGCGTGTGCATCAGTTTTACAGATCTGATTCACTTGAATGCAGTTGTTGGTTCCTTGCCTCTCAGGCAGATGCACTCCGACTTCAAAGGAAGCTCCCCAGTTAGTCGGCTCTTACGACATGCTTTTGGGTAGGCAGTGGGTCTATTCATGTTTTCCCTATAATAGGGCCCCGGAAACCCCACGGGGAACTGCTGGAATTGAAACGGGTAGCGTGTCAGCATGACGTCTCAGAAGCTGACATTTTTCGACCATATCAAGCGCAATGGCGATTTGGAGGTTGTGGGTTGGGGGGGGGGGGGGGGGGGTGGACAATAGTATGATACCAGGAAAGAGGGGAGGCGCCTACCAACACTTACAGGATGTAAGTGACTCTTTGGATATGAAAGTACATGACACGGGAGAGCTGACGAGAGGCCGAGTTTCTTTCAGGCAGATCGTGATGTGAGTGACATTCTTTGAAAAACCTGCCACACGATGACCGCGTGATTACGAAGCGCGTTCTCAGTTCTTAAAACACATAGGATATACATTACCAGAACGACGCTTGTGTTTAAAAAAAAAAAAAAAGACGATGGGTGGGAATGCTGAATGTTGAACTAAGAATCGACATCATCGCTGTCGGGACACTGACATAAACGCTCCAACCCCGTACTCAGAAGCAAAGAACTTCAATTCCTACTGTCCCAGTAAACGTCTAATAGTAAATCCGTCTCGCCTTTCCCTTGAGTTTTGAGCGTTAGCCAGATTCCCTGGTAACTCCCCGCAGCGCCATTTTCCTCAGCCCGTAATGATCCATATTATATATATATATATATTTAATTTTTGTTTATACAAGGGTTTCTTAGTTGTGTCTTGTAACCACTTGTGTTGCTCTCCACGAAACCATAGAACCTCTCAAGCCTGGCACTATTCCGGCGAATCATGGATTCTTACATTGTCGATGGGAACATCACCAGAACACTGACTGTTTCTCCAGACGAAGTGGCAGCTGTGATTCTGATTCAAGGTTTGATTGAACTGATGATTGACTGATTGTTAAAACAAATGATTCAGTTGTTAAAATTTTTCAGATAATGAATTCCCCCCCACCCCCAACCTCCATTCTCCCTCCTCCATTCTACCCCCCCCCCCAACCTCTATTCCCCCCCCCCCACCTACCTTCATTCTCTCTCCTCCATCCCCCTACCAACTTCCATTCTCCCTCCTCCATCCCCCACCAACCTCCATCACCCACAACCTCCAATCCCCCCTCCCCCCACCAACCTCTATTCTCCCTCCTCCATTCCACCACTTCCCCAGCTTCAGGCAACCGAGGAAATAAACGGCCTACAAAATTGACGAACATTAATTAGGATGTATTTGTTTAAGGGTTATGTCTGGACAATGGCTCATATCAACAGCTATGTAAGATAAATAAAATGTTGATACATTGGACGTATTTTGAGGAAAAGTAAACAGAGAATCACTAAACAGACGTTTCGTTACAGAATAAATAGATTACGGAAACCAGTCATGCATAAGAATACTGTCAGGATGTTTGTTTGTTTGTTTATTCGACGGATCAACATCATGGTACACTGGTGAAACACATAGGTGCTCCGTTCTACTTCTAACTGAACCTGAGTCTGAAGAATCTCAGCGCAGTGCACGAACTCCGTTGCACCGGTGAGGATCCTGAAATACTTTGGGTAGATTTTTACCTCCGAATTCTTGCCCGGGCAGCGCCGTTAGGCTACTCTTTTCGATTTGCAACTGCCAAGGAATTTTTTACGTGCGCAAGAATACTACCCAGAGACCAGGGGAAATTACTAGAAATTCACAAGGAAAAATCCCAGCCTTCACTGGGGCTTGAACATTGACGTGCAGCACTCGAGGCGGACATCATACCTCGAGACCACTCAGCCCCCCCCCCCCCCCCCCCGACCCCCACCAAACCCTTAGGATTAACTTTAATGAAAGAAACTAAAAGCGCTGGACTGGATTCCATCCACGATATTGAAACAATTGCACACTAGAGAAAGCAATGAGAGAATAAATTGCGAGCCCTTTGCCGAATAAAAGCACAAAAGGATGATTATGATGATGAAGTGACTGGTGGATTAAAACCAATCAATTGAAAACATTTTCATGATAATTTAAAATCCTATGAAGTTTATCAGGCGGAAGCAACTGTCAAAGATGTGGTGTTTTTTTTCAGCAACTGTTATTTTACATGTGGAAAAAAAAAATTTGAATTTAGTTGTATGTTCATTTCAGGGTGTCAAAGAACCAAGCCCAGCATTTAGTGACTGTTTTGTGGTTAGCAGGTCTGTTCTTTTGAGCCTGTGGCGGCACATAGGGCAGAGGTCATAGTCTCTCTCTCTCTCTCTCTCTCTCTCTCTCTCTCTCTCTCTCTCTCTCTCTCTCTCTCTCTAACGTTTCGATGCCAACTGTTTTAGGCCTTGGATGTTCCTCAAGCTCATGGCTGAGCCTATTATGATGATAGCTCTAAGCAGGTTCTCTCTGGGTCTTCTCCGTTTTCTTCAAACCTTTGGATATCTATGTGAAGGCTTGATTGGCGTTTGTCTGAACAAGAAGAGACATAATCAGAAATAAAGAAATAAGAAGGCTGGGTCTGAACCAGTCAAACATTATATTGTAACGCAACAGATAAGAGGGCTCTCCATCTGAACAAAACTCTTTAGTTTTTTTTTTTTTCAATAGCAAGAGAGCTGCAGTGACTTAACTGTCCTGTTACACCTTCACCCTGAAGGACTTAGATTCGAATACAAATCGAGTGGGCTTTGTTTAAAAAAAAAATGTTGACTCCTAATTTTAAAAAAAACAGCCTAAAATTTGCACATAAAAAGCCTTGGGAAGTAAAGATAGCCTGACTGACTTTGACCACATAACCAGATTGCCTTCGGGACGGTCTATACACACATACAATGTAAAGAACCCTTTTTCACGCCTACTGGTGTATTGGAAATATTATGTCAAACCTTTATTTTACAGACCAATAGGTGCTCAGCGGTAAGGTGGTCAGCATCACCCCCGGCTGCCTTTACATCCTAGGACTTGACCTGGTACCCATTTAAGGCTTGGTCGACCTGGAAGCCAATGTCATTTAAAAAAAAAAAAGTATGGCTCCACCAGGACCCGATCCCACGTCCTTCAAATATGCAGGCGAGGGTCTAGCAGAAACACCACGGCGGCTCCCATATGAATATGATTGAAGCATATTATTCTCGAACCACCAATGGTGTGAACACGGTCAGTTACTATTTTTTACTTCTACTTTGGATCTGTTAGCTTTCGTTGATTAGCTTTCGTTGATTATAACTGATATCTTTGCTTTTCTGAAATCCTTGTCACAAGTAAAATACTCGTTAGTCGCTAGTTGAGGTTCCAACATACCTGAAGACAAATCTTTCAATAACTGCTCCGTTTCCCTGCTAGTGAAAATCACTGTCACAGCTGTCGAATGTGCCAACACTAACGGTTCAATGCCAGAATTGCAGTTCACTGTTGGAGTAAACGGTTAAACACGAAAGCCGGTATTGCACCCGAAAAAGTACACGCCATTATGATCGTAATTGGCACCTTTACCATTTTAGTGCTGTCAACAAATTCGCCGAGAGGACACACACACATAAAAAAGCAATACACCACTTCAACCACCACTACCACCACCACAACAACCACCAATACCGCTGCTATTACTACTTTGTTTTCTTCCCTTTTCTTTAAAAACTCTAAATTTCCAACTTACACATTTTTGTCCGAAAGTCAGCACAAAGACCATAAGTCGCATGCTATAACTACCAAGAGATCCTACCAGGGAGGCCGAAGTTGGTACTTTCGTATGCATTTGGTTTTATTTGACCCTTGACGAGCAAAAGTTTTGGTACCATGCACAATGATTTGGTACGTTTTAGAAATGTTGCATTAATTTGTTAAACAATGGCATTGTGCTGAAGTTATTGCTCCAGGACATTAACTGCACTAAATGAAAGCTATATATCATTTTTTTTTTTTTTTTTCGTCCTTTTCAGGACGAAATTTTTTGTCATTTGAAGCCCTACTCTGGCTTTTGCCAGGGGCCTCAATATAGGCAGGCCATAAATATGGCCAAGTGTCTGAACGCGGTTTCTGGGACCTCTCCACGGCGATCCTCATCCGCATGGTGGCACTTTGTGTCATCGGGTGTTTATCGCTTGTGTGATGTCCTGGTGGGGTAGAAAGTCAGTCAGTCAAAGCTATATATATATATATATATATATATATATATATATATATATATATATATATATATATAGAGAGAGAGAGAGAGAGAAATTGATTGTGTATGTGGTGTGTGTGTGTAAGCGCGCGCGTTTTTGTGCTTAAAGACTTTTCAACTTTGTTTTTAACGTAAAATTAAATATGTGGTACCTTTTAATGTTTTTTTTTTTTAAATTCCTTTTTCTAAAATTTGTCATACCATTAAAAAGAGAGAAAAAAATCGGCAGCACTGGATCCAACCCATTCTTTAACCCTGGAAGGTTCCCATGCTCCTCTACTGCAAAAACTGCTTACATCAATGAAACACGTGTGCCATTTTTTTTCCAGGTTACGTGAGCCAGTTTTACAGTGAGCTTAGATATGTCGGTCCGTGTATTTTGCCATATAACCAACAGAAGTTTCTTAGCCATGTAAGTGTGAATAACTTTTGTAAAAGTGAGGGTTTCTTGCTTTCTCTCTTTCTTTCTTTTTTCTTTCCTTCTTCTTTTTGTTTGTTTGTTTGTTTGTTTGTTTCTTACTTCCTTCCTTACTTCTTTCCTATCTTTCTCTCCCTTTGTTACATTCCATGGCACGATTTGATATTTATTATTATGATTATTTTTCAATTATCAACCGGGTACCGTCTTCACACTGGATCCCCAACACGCTCTACCTCTAGTCTTGCTTATACACTCTCTCAATCTGCTGTTCGTCCATCTCTTGATGTTGTCCTACAACTTGTAAAGTTGTCTATGTCTTGCTCTTTTGATTTTGAGGTTTTGAACAACGGCTCAACATCATGGCAAACGAGTGTAACTCATAAGTGCTCCATTCTACTTCTGCTAAATCAAATCTGAGTTCGAAGAAGCTCAGCACAATGCACATGGTCTGTAGCACCGGCGAGGATCCTGAAATACTTTGGGTAGATTTTAAACTTCAAATTGTGCCCTGGCAGCGCCGTTAGGCTACTCTTTTTCGATTTCCAACTGCCGAGGGATTTTTTACGTGCGCAGCAATACACACGGGCGTCCGATCTCACTACCCAGTTTCCAGGGGAAATTACTAAAAGTCCAAGTCCACGTAAGAAATCCCAGCCCTTAATGGGGATTGAACCCGAAACCTTTAGCACTCCAGGCGGACACCATGCCTCGAGACCAGGTAGACCTCTAGGAAGGTAAGGTAAGGTAAGTTGTACCCCACCAGGACATCACACAAGCGATAAACACCCGGTGACACAAAGTGCCACCATGCGGATGAGGATCACCCGTGGAGGGGTCCCGGAAACCCCGTTCACCCTTTAAGCCATATTTAAGGCCTGGCTATTTTTATAGCCACCGGCAAAAGCAGGCTAAGGCTTGACAAACATAATTGCAGCCCACAAGGGGATGACAGTTATAATTGCAGGAATGGAATATTTTGTCATGAGGTGTGCAGAGTACCTCACTCAACAGACAATGTGAAAACATAATAACATATCGGACTGGCCCATGTAAAAATACGTGAATCAGGCATGGTTTGTTTGTTTGGACAAAAGAATTTATGTTTTTAGTGCTCCAAAAGCATTCCGTTATTTTTTTCCCTATAAATCCCCCCCCCCCCCCCCCCCGCTCTTTATATATATATATATATATATATATATATATATATATATATATATATATATATATATATATATATATATATATATATACTTCTCCTTTGCTAGAAGTCCTCCCCCTTTTCTATAAAAACTTCCCTGTTCTAAAAATTATAATTTTTTCTATCCTCTGTGTTGGTTCCGAGTCCCCATTGTGGGAAAAACAAGAATAGACCCACTGCCTCCCCAAAAGCATGTCGTAAGAGTCGACTAACTGGGGAGCTTCCTTTGAAGTCGGAGAGCATCTGCCGGAGAGGCAAGGAACCAACAGTCTGTATTCAAGAGAATGAGATCTGTAAAACTGATGCACACGCAACACTCAGGTTCTGGAGCAGGACTGCAGTTCAGTAGTGGACGAGCAACCAGAACTTTCCGCCAGAGTGTACAGCTGGTGAACGCGAAGAAGAAAAAGAATTTTTTCTATAAATGCTTCCGTTATCTGACTGACTTTGTAATTATTCTGTTATCTATAAATACTGCCCCTTTTTATAAATATATCACCCTTGTATACATACTTTACCATTCTGTAAATACTTTACCTTTCTATAAATACTTCACCTTTCTATAAATACTTCCCCTTTCTATAAACAATTCAATTTTCTTTAAATACTTCCCCCTTTCTATAAATACTTCCCTTTTCAATAAATACTTCTCTTTTTCTATTAATACTTCCCCCTTTCTATAAATACTTCTTCCTTTTATTACATACTCCTCATTTTTTTTAATAATTAATTGCTCTTTTTTGTGAATACTCCCTGTTTATATAAATACTGCCCCTTTCTATAAATACTTCCCTTTTCGATAAATACTTCTCCTTTCTATAAATACTTCCAACTTTCTATAAATACTTCCCTGTTTTTATAAATAATTGCTAAGTTTTATATACTCTTCCAACTTTCTATAAATACTTCCCTATTTGTATAAATACTTGCTACTTTTTATAAACTCTTCCCACTTTCTATAAATACTTGCAACTTTCTATAATAACTCCCCCACCCCCCCCTCCCCCCCTTTTTTTTTTTAGCCCGAGCTAGGCCCTCGTGTCATTTACCTCATCGTCAAGAGCAAGTCGATGGAGGACACAGGGCTAGAAAGTCTGGTACCTGAAGAGCCACAGATGTCCACTTACGAAGACTCGTTGACAATTTCTTCCGGAGCTTCGGATATAGATCCTTATAGGAGAGACAAGGACGATATCGGATTGAGAGATGAATCGGTGAGTCCGCCTGGCCACCCTTGCTCATCAATTTATTTATCTACCTTATTTTTCTCATTATCCTCATCGTCCTCTTCTTCTTGTTGTTTACTATCATCATCATGGTCATCATGATATTCTTCATGCTATTGTCCTTGATGTGTTCTTCTTCTTTTTCATCATCATCATCATCATCGTATTAATCCTTTTCTTCTTCTTCTTCTTCTTCTTTTTCTTCTTCTTCTTCTTTTTCTTCTTCTTCTTCTTCTTCTTCTTCTTCTTCTTCTTCTTCTTCTTCTTCTTCTTCTTCTTCTTCTTCTCTTCTTCTTCTTCTTCTTCTTCTTCTTCTTCTTCTTCTTCTTCTTCTTCTTCTTTTTCTTCTTCTTCTTCTTCTTCTTTTTCTTCTTCTTCTTCTTCTTCTTCTTCTTCTTCTTCTTCTTCTTCTTCTTCTTCTTCTTTTTCTTCTTCTTCTTCTTCTTCTTTTTCTTCTTCTTCTTCTTCTTCTTCTTCTTCTTCTTCTTCTTCTTCTTCTTCTTCTTCTTCTTCTTCTTCTTCTTCTTCTTCTTCTTCTTCTTCTTCTTCTTCTTCTTCTTCTTCTTCTTCTTCTTCTTCTTCTTCTTCTTTTTCTTCTTCTTCTTCTTCTTCTTCTTCTTATTATTATTATTATTATTATTATTATTATTCTTTTCCTCCTCCTCCTCCTCTGTCATTTTCTTATTCTTGTTCTATTTCTCCAGCTACCTCATACAATTGTTGGGGGAGGCGGTGGTGTGAATTTCTTTTGAAATGCTAATATTTTTTTTTTGAAATAATATGAAATGTATGCACATACATAAAATACAAATGCATAAACGTGTGTTTGAAACATTTTTGATTTACGCTATGTTTGATTAAGGCCTTTAGTCCCTTAGCAAATTTTCTGGAGGAGGGAGCTCTGTTGCTTGCTCTTAGAATTTCAGCGGCGAATGGCTCGTTTTGTAGGTCATTGATAGTTAAAGCTTTTCTACACACACTAAACCAAAACACCTACAGAGCACGCATATTTAATGCAAAGAACAATATAACAGAACGCAGTGTACCCCTATCCGAAACAAAGGACAGGAGGGCTTTACAGATCACATCTAACTGCTATCACGTTCCTATGGGTAGTACTGGATCCAAACCCATGCCGTTTCCGTACAGCTCTTTCCTTCGCCACTGAACTTAAAACCAGGATCAAGCTGGGTCTGCCGGGTGCCGGGCAAAGTGAAGGAGAACAGATCAAATCATCATAACCAATACAAATCAACCTTAACTTTCAGACTGACGATAATACCTTACGTAACAAAATACATACAAAACATATCTCTGAGGGACGCGGTATACCACACGATTACTGTTTACGACACATCGTTACACAAACTATCGGTCACTATAGTCTACACCGAACATAAATAATAGTCTAACTTTCGAATTATGACAACGTCGCTACAGTCACCTTCCTAGAAAATAACTCTTCCGATTACTAGCAGTCAACTAGTGTTATTGCCATCCCCAGTTAAGTCGAGCGTTCTTGCGATACTCGTGACTTAGCAAGCAAAACACTCAGACAGGCATAAGTTCCCACTGTCATCTGTCAGTCCCAGTGAACTCCGGTTTATGCCTAAGTCAAATAGGTCAGACACGAACAATTTATTATCATCATGCTACCTGTCCCGTACCAACACCAGACTAGCATCTGACAGCGTAAAAAAGGGTCTTTTAGTTTACTTTACTTTATGTGAAAATGAATAACAGCTATTTAATGCTACCTTTTCGTCTCCATTTATGTTTAACTGTATTTTCATTGTTTACAATTTACGCAGGATTATCCGCACCGGGCACTGGCAAGTGGAATGTCCGAGAGCCAATTAGAGGAAGTCACCAACTACAAGGTCAGAAAACAATCCGCTGTAAACGTAGTCCGTATGGCCTCCACAGCTTTAAACAGGGACGCCGACACATATAAATCACTGAAGCGCGCCTGACCCATTATATTTTTTTTTCAGACTAAATTGCGGCTGGGGCGGAAATTTTTAGGCGCCCAAGGCTTGTTACGCAAGAACAATAATAGTAATTGTTATTTTTAAAAATTATTTTTACCTGCTGATGCATCCTCCTTCCCCACCGCAAAACCAATAAGCGTAGTTTTCTGATGGCACCTTTGTTTTATCTTACAGTATAACTTTCGTAATTAGAAACTATCGTTGACCTAATTGCAAAAGAACTGTCAATCAATTGATCGAACCTTCAATACTCTTGTGCGCAAACTGAGCAATTTCAATTATTGAAATACACAGATGTAAAAATGTCAGTGAGGCTTCTAAAGCCGCTTTTGTGGGAAACCCAGAATAGACGTACATTTTAAATAATATGCACATAATAAACTAATACATACAAAGAAAACTTCCAAACATATCTGTCGGGCGGCATCATATATGTCTGGCGGCATCATATCTGTCAGGTAAGATTTGGCTCTCTTGAAAATTGTATTGAAAAAACACACACTATGCTGTGTGCTAAACTCACTTTGTCGTTCAATTGCACCAGGCGTCGGTGGCGTAATCGCCTACGCCGGTGGTGGGGTCGCTAGAAAATGATGGTAGAGGCCAGTGCGAAAAGTCCTAGCTGTGCACGAAGTTGGTAATGAAGTGTTTCTGAAGTTTCACGGCTAACACTGGGTTTCACCAACGCCGTCTCTAATTGTGCCTAACAACTAAATGACCAACTTTTTGAAAGGAGTCCCTCGAAAACTGGTTACTGTGAGCCCTTTCCATGTGTTGCATCGTGTGACATTTTGATGTGCTTACGAAGTTCTGTGTTCTGAATTTATTTGTATTAAAAATCGACATGCGGATATTGTTAAGTGGATATACACGATATTGCTTTCATACTGACTGTGCATAAATAGTGCAACTACACTGTGAATAAAAAGTGTCAAGATATTTCGGAGCTCTGGGTAAGTGGATGAAAAAAATATTTAATTTACTAACCTCTCATAGCAAGTCACTCTTTGCCTCTGTACTAATTGTTGACTAACAGTATAATTATATGTTGTAGAAGTACACTAATAATATTAATCCTCAATCATTTGTCTTATGCTTCGCGAACACTGGCTGTAAACTCTGGCATAAACTTCTGGTTGTTCATCTACTTCTTATGCATATTTGCAGTTGTACGGTCTGTGTTAATTTTTGTAAACTGGCTTCTGCTTCAGGAACACTGGCTGTAAACTCTGGCAGAAACTTCTGGTTGTTCATCTACTTCTTATGCATATTTGCAGTTGTAGGGTCTGTGTTAATTTTTGTAAATTGGCATCTGCTTCGTGAACACTGGCTGTAAACTCTGGCAGAAACTTCTGGTTGTTCATCTACTTCTTATGCATAGTTGCAATTGTACGGTCTGTGTTTATTTTTGTAAATTGGCTTCTGCTTCGCGAACACTAGCTGTAAACTCTGGCAGAAACTTCTGGTTTTTCATCGTCTTCTTATCATATTTGCAGTTGTACGGTATGTGTTAATTTTTGTAAACTGGCTTCTGCTTCAGGAACACTGGCTGTAAACTCTGGCAGAAACTTCTGGTTGTTCATCTACTTCTTATGCATATTTGCAGTTGTAGGGTCTGTGTTAATTTTTGTAAATTGGCATCTGCTTCGTGAACACTGGCTGTAAACTCTGGCAGAAACTTCTGGTTGTTCATCTACTTCTTATGCATAGTTGCAATTGTACGGTCTTTGTTAATTTTTGTAAATTGGCTTCTGCTTCGCGAACACTAGCTGTAAACTCTGGCAGAAACTTCTGGTTTTTTATCTTCTTCTTATGCATATTTGCAGTTGTACGGTCTGTGTTAATTTTTGTAAATTGGCCTCTGCTTCGCAAACACTGGCTGTAAACTCTGGCAGAAACTGGTTGTTCATCTACTTCTTATGCATATTTGCAGTTGTACGGTCTGTGTTAATTTTTGTAAACTGGCTTCTGCTTCAGGAACACTGGCTGTAAACTCTGGCAGAAACTTCTGGTTGTTCATCTACTTCTTATGCATATTTGCAGTTGTACGGTCTGTGTTAATTTTTGTAAACTGGCTTCTGCTTCAGGAACACTGGCTGTAAACTCTGGCAGAAACTGGTTGTTCATCTACTTCTTATGCATATTTGCAGTTGTACAGTCTGTGTAGATTTATGTAAATTGTCTTTTGCTTCGCGAACACTGGCTGTAAACTATGGCAGAAACTTCTGGTAGTTCATCTACTTCTTATCCATATTTGCAGTTGTACGGTCTGTGTTAATTTATGTAAACTGTCTTTTGCTTCATGAACACTAGCTGTAAACTCTGGCAGAAACTTCTGGTTGTTCATCTAATTCTGGGCTTTAGTCTTGTTCCAGACACTGTTTTAAACAACGAGATCCGGTATCTTTTATGGGGAATTTTTTGTGTTTGATATTTTTATGTTGCATAGCATTTGCAGTTATATGGTCTTTTTTATTTGCTTTAATTACTTTTAAAATAATATACCATTCATGATACTTATACGGGTTGTTGCATGCTTTATTCAGAAATATGTCTGATGTATTTTTAAATAGTTACCAAAAAGTTTGCAATGATAAGGAATTGATTTCAACCAACGAGATGAAACTGGACAAATTTGTTTGTGCTGTTAGTACATTGAGGATAAATATTTAGTAGTGCAATAAGTACTGTTAAGAAAACTGCTCTGGGTGAAAAGTTATTGCACATATCAATTTTATATTGACTGTGCTTGTTTACGAATTACTAAATACCAGTATCATTATATGTTGTAGTAGTCTACTAATAGTAATAATAACTATCAATCATTTATATTTATGTTATATACGACATGTGTATATTTCACAGCAGTATTTTTATGCGCTTAATTTGATAAAGTACAAATTTAACCCCCCCCCCCCCTTTTCCCGGCTCCTCTGATGCAACAATACCCTCTCAGAATCAAAGAGTTGGCACTGATATTTCTTTACTTTTGCTGGAATAACTTTCAGTTTATATCCAAACGTTATTAATGTTTATGTTCATGCTGATTGTAGCAAAAGCATTTTTGTTTGTCCGTAACAGCCTTTATTGTTATATTAAAATAGCACACTTACTTACCTTAAAAATGACGTATAGTTCTATAAAATATGTCGAAAATTAATGAAACTGTAGTTTAATTTGTGTATACATTTCCTCGATAAAAACTGTGGACGCAGATGGACTCCATTCTTGCACAAGAACGGGAATCCCGTTGACCTTTTTGACCTGTAAATAGAGAAGGCCGTGTGCTGTGGGCGCAGCCAGCCTCTAGTCAGCTTTTATGATAGGTTACTGGTGACCCAAAGTGTAGGCACGTAACAGAGGCGTTTATTAAAAGGTACGGATGACACCAAGAGGCGGCCTATTGGCCGAAGGCGTTAATGTTGTGGACTCACGCCTAGTCAAGGCTAGGTGATACCGCCTTAGAAGTATACTGATGATTGGGTATCGGGGAGCATTAGACAGATAGTGGTTTTGTAATCACCATTTCATCTTCATCGTCACACTGTTGTTTGTTTCAATAAATAGACTGAATATTGAAATGACTTCCCGTATTGTTAGTGTGGTTGTCTGCTGACTGTTATCGATGTTAGTGGGACGATGTGCCTATGTGAACTGTTTTTAGTAAAGCACTCTCCAGTAGGGAACCCAATTAGTCGTTTGATAGTCGACATGAGAACTTTTGCATATGTGGGTGAATCATAATCATTCAACCGCCATACCAGTAATTCCCAAACTGTGCTCTGTGGAGCCCCGGTGAGCTGCTTCCTCTTTCACTGGGGCGCCGCAAAATATTCCATGATACACGTGTTTAATTTTTTTTTTAAATCTCTTACATACGAACAGTCATACTTTTACTTTGGTTAGGGTGTTTGGGAAACACTGCCCTGTACACTTCACCACACCTTCCAAACACTCATCTTTCAGACAGCAATTGTATTTTATCAAAAGAGCATCTTTGTTTAAATAAAAAAATATGAATAATATGAGTATCAATGAAAAAGCATGGGTGGTAAATGGATGCCACACGAACACACACAAACTCATTCACGCATGCATTCATTTATACGCTCATCACTCACTCACACCCACGTATCCATACATACATAATTACATACACTTACACATGCCTACACAAATGAGTAGCACTATGTACCTGAGGCGTCACGAGAGTGAAAAGTGTCCCTTTTTAAACTTTTACAGGTGTATCTGTCTGTGACAGGGTAATGTCCATTTTTTTCTAAACTGTCTAATTCGTATCCGTCTATTAAAGAGCAACGTCAAGTGTTTACCATTTTACTTTTCTAGGTATATCTGTATGTGAAAGGGCAACGACAAGTGTTTACTTCTTAACTTTCAAAGATGTATATGTCCATGAAATAGCAACGTCAATCACTTGTATGGGTGTAGCTGTTTGTGAAAGGATAACGTCAAGTGTTTGCGTTTTTTACTTTTACATGTGTATTTGTCTATGATTGAGTGATGTCAAGTGTTTACGTTTTCACTTTACAGGTGTATCTGTCTATGAAAGGGCAATGTCCGATGTCTATTTTTTTATTTTATTAAAAACTTATGTAGGTGTATCTGTCTGTGAAAGGGTATCGTCCAAAGTTTACTTTTTTTACAGTACCATGTGTACCTGCCTATATTGGGCAACATCAAGTATTATAATGTTATCACTCTTACATATGTATCTGTGGATTAAAGGGCAACATCAGATGTTTACTTCTTTTTTTCCCCTTAACTTTTACAGACTCGTCTGTCTATGAAAGGTTTACGTCCAGCATCCGTAGCTCCAATTGTGGAGCCCAAACCGGAGTCTAGGATTTCTACCTACTGGACCTAGCACAGAGTATACACAACGACAATGTTTGCTCTGGCTGCGATGAGAGAAGAGTTAAAAATGTGCCACCTTTCAATTAGACAAGAGTTGTAAATGTGCGACCTTTCGATTAGACAAGAGTTGGAAATGTGCCACCTTTCGATTAGACAAGAGTTGGAAATGTGCCACATTTCGATTAGACAAGATTTAGAAATGGGCCACCTTTCGATTAGACAAGAGTTGGAAATGTGCAACCTTCTACCGATTGAAACACATATACAGTGTTAGATAAGTTCCCTCTATTGTGACTGACTATGTGTAAATCACACAACTGTCATAAAGTGGTGCGCGGTTATCTCCAGACTGTAAATGTGGATATCTAGACTCTCTAAATAAATAGCAATGGGGACTGTTTGAGAGAAATGAAAAGTTGCATAGCCATAACAATTGAAAAATTAAACAACATTGAAAGTCTATGGTTTAAACCAACAAGGAAATCAAAATTAAAATGTTGAGAGCATGCATCTTCCCTGTAGTAACATACAGATGTGAGTCCTGGACTGTCTCCCAGTCCTTAAAAACTGAAACCAGGGACTTTTGAGTTGAAATGCTATAGAAAGATTCTCAGATAACCATTAAAAAAGAAGAGAAGAAAAACTGACATTTTGAAAAATCCCAACTTCAAGGAAGACTGGCTAATAAACAGCATCTTGTCTCGGAAAGTGAAACATTTTGGTCAATTCAAGCGCCATGGCGGGTCGAAAAAACAACAACAATAATAGCAGAAGGCGTAGTACCAGGAAGGAGTGGCAGGGGCCTACCAACACGATGCTGACACAGGATATATGTGACTCCTTGAATATGAAAGTTCACAAAGCTGGAGAGCTGGCGAAAGACCAGTTTCTTTCCTGTTGACCGTGATGAGAGCGATGTTTTGTAAAGAGGACCTGGCACATGATGATAAAATATATAGACAGTCTTTTAAATAATTGCGCAACATGGTCATGAGAGTTGTATAGTTACAAATATGCAGTTACCGTCGAGGGACATATGAAACACCCATTGAGAGTAAAATATTTTACGGACATGAAGGTATTTTTGTAAGGAAACATACCGGTTTGTTTAGATTATTTACTTTTTGCCTGATGGCTTTCTCCCATTGTTATTTTCTATTGTGTCAAAAAGTATACATATTTATACATATATTTACCCACTGAATTTGTGTATATACATGTGTGTGGTCATTTCCACAAAAAAATATAATATGTGCTATTTCGCCTATACAGTAATTATGAAACACGTTTGCTACATAATTACTGAAAGTTTTGAAGATTATAATATAAAATAGATTCACTGAGGAACTGAGAGTTTACTCGTGGGGGGAAGGGGGGGGGAGGGGTGGATAATTAATGTTTATAACGGCTATATTTTAACTAGCTGTTACATTTATTAGGTTTTCACGGTCTTTATGTTCATTGAAACGAACAGGTTGCTAGATTGGTAGCTGCCTCTCCTCTGGGTGGGAAGCTACTTCATGATAAAGCATATACGGCGAAGGGTCTGTCGGAGTAGGCGGACAGCGCAACAGGACAGACACTGTACGTGTGTGTGTGTGTGTGTGTGTGTGTGTGTGTGTGTGTGTGTGTGGAGCAGAGAGGCTGCGTTGGGGTGGGTGGGTGTGGGGAGGCTGTGGAAGATATTCAGCACGGAGGATGAAACATATGTGGACTTTAATTGGATTGCACCTGGTACTGTTAGCATATCCACTAATCGTTGACTACTAATGAAGGAGACTAAACACGCGTAGAAATGTCCGGTGTGTAAGGATGTCAGTTCTTTATTCATTCGTTCATTTTTTTATTCATACATTCATTATGTTTAGTTATCTCGCCCACTGGAGTTCGAATTTAAAGCACAGAGTAAAACATGAACACATGATATTGCATTTTGAGTGTGAAACAAATAAATAAAAAATAACTAACTGTTTCAGCTCACAGTGTAGATTTTGATATGAACACTTGATGTAGATAGTTGTTCAGTCTAACGGTATAGATTGTTATTTGAACACCTGATACAGTTTTTTGAATTTACGACAGGGACTGTTTAAAAAAAACAACCTAATTTGGATAGTCATTCAAACTTGCGGTATAACTTTTTATTTGAACAAGCCGTATTGCTTGTTATTTGAGCACCTGGTACAGTTTGTTATTTGAACTAACTTTTGTAAACACACGGCATAGATTGTTTTTTGAAGACACAGTAAGCATGATTATCTTAACAGGTGTTATATGGCACTGCCAGGAGTTACCAGGGGATCTGCCGACGATCAACACTCAAGGGAAGAGCGAGATGGATATGCAATGAAACAGTTCCTGGTGCCATCAGAATTCGACGGAGCGCTAATGAAGGTGTCCCGAGTGCTATAATGTCGATTCTTAACATTCAACATAAAAATTCAATGTTTTTGAATGGTTTATGATTCTTACCACACCAACGTCGCTTTTATAATTCTTCTTCTTCAGCATTCCAAGCCCTTGAGGTTCATTGCTGCAGATATCACCTGCCTCCATTCATCTCTCTGGTTGGCCTTCTCTTTCCAGCTGGTGACACCAATTGTTTGCAGGTCTGTCTAGGCGTTATCTCTCCATATTCTTCTGGGTCTGCCTCGTGGTCTACGACCATTCTCCTTCTTCTTCTGCGTTCGACATCAGTCATGCTAAACATTGAGTCCCGTCTGGGTCACAAATAGGATTGTGCGTTTAAGGTCGCCACCGGTCGCCCATAGCTTCTCTTGCAATGTGGCTCCCTTGGGCCAGATCAACAGCCTAATTGTCAGTTTGTGTCCAGTTGCATTACTCTGTTCTTCCCTGGTCACTCCAGAAGATTCAGAGGTTGTGGCTCTAGTAGCTTGGGGTGGGCCCCTTCGAGACAGGAGCCCGGCGCCATCCCTACCCGAATCTCCCCGGTGTTTACAGTTTTTAACTTCTCTTTTATTATAATTTGATCTTCTATAATACAACACAAGCTTTTTTGTAGATGTGTATTTGTGGACACTTTTACCATTATATTACACCATTTGTTTAAAATGCATGCTCGGTTTACGGGTGACATGTATCTTGTGTATACTGTTTTATGGTTTACTTTTACAAATAAGATTGAGTAAGGTTTTATTTGCTTTCCAAGAATTTCTTGAATAATTTTTTTAATCAAATTTACCAATAAAAGAATATTTACCACGAAAATGCAAACATTTGCTCTTTGTTTATTTTGTAAAAATTATTGTTTTGTTGTCCAACAGAGAGGAGCGGCTGGCCGAACGGTTAAAATGTTGCTCTCTCGAGCGACAGACCCAGGTTCGAATCCTCGGTAAGGCTGGGGATTTTTTTATGTCGGGGGCCAAAAAAAAAAAAAAATCCTCACCTTCACAGTCATGGTGACAGCACTGGCAATGCGGCCGTAAATCCTCAGGCTCAATGGCCCCACCCCCCGCCTACACCGCAAAAGTGGTAACATAAAGTCAATAATTAGCAGTTTTGGTATCCAACAGACAGACATTTTTTCTTGGCGCTTGTTTCTCAGAGGCGTTATTACCTTGGTTAACTATTTCGAGGTGTGCTGTTTGACTGCAAAGAAGAGGAGAAATACTGACATCTTGAAAGATCTGTACATCAAGGAATATTGGCTAACAAACAGCATCCTGTCTCGGAAGCTGAAATATTTTGGTCATATCAAGCGCCATAACGGATTGAAAAAAAAAAATAAAGCAGAAGGAATGGTACCAGGAAGGAGAGACAGGGGCCGACCAACACGAAGATTGGCACAGGATATAAGTGACTCCTTGAGTATGAAGGTACATGAGGCGGGAGAGCTGGCGAGAGACCGAGTTTCTTTCAGACAAATCGTGATGAGAGCGACGTTCTGCAAAGGACCTGCTACATATTGATGATGCTGCAGTTCGACTGAGATGTCCCCGTGTGGGTTTCGGGACTCCATTTCAAAGAACAAAGAACAGACCCACTGTCTCCCTGAAAGCATGTTACAGGTGGCGACTAATTAGGGGTGTCTCCTTCGAAGTCGGAGTGTATCTGCCTTAGAGGTGAGGAACCAATAGTCTGCATACAAGTAGGCCATATCTGTAAAATGGATGTGCACCCAAAACTCAAGGTCTACAACAGGACCAAAGTCCAAGCATGGACGAACAACAAGAACTTTCCACCAGAGTTTCTAGCAGGTGAACGCGAAGATGAAGAAGACGATTTAGCTGCGGGTGATTTGGCAGGAGACCGCTTTGTGTAGATTTCGACAATGGCAGGGAGAGCTGATCGTTCAGCGAAACCTGAAAGTAAAATTGCCTATTAGAACCACATAACCTTTCCTTTTGAGTAAACAAGGCAGGTTGATGGAGGTATCATGATGCATAGGCAACATATGGTCTCTACAATTAAAGATGGGTAGAAGATGTTGAGGCAGACCTCTACTGCAATATAAAAACGTGTGCAAGCGGAACTTGAATGATACAGGTATTGCGGTTGACTCATCTGAACAAAATGCCATGGACCGTGTTGTGTGGATGGGGAACATCAGGAAAGGAGTGAGAATGAAGGAAAAAATTGTTGCAGTAAAGATAAAAGCTGAGCGTCTGATAACAATCAAAGTGAACACAAATGCTGACTATAACGGTCCCGAAATCCCATGCTGTAATTGTCCACGTTCTTAACGTGGACAGGTCTTGCTAGTCACACTCACCATCACCATGGGCTGTGAGTCCCATGCCTCCTCAATGCGTAATATAAACTATCGTCTGTAAAGACGGAAAGATGCCAATCCATCAAAACAACAAACAACACACATATTGTTTGGTTTACAATGGGTCCTTTCATTATACACAACGTCTTCTTCTGCCTTTTTAACACCCAACGAAGTATAGGCACTCAACCAGTTCAGGCCAACTTGTTCTATCCGTCGCTATCGTATGCAGCTCTCCCCATGTTCTTCCAATCTTTTTAACTTCACCCTCTAGCTCCCTTCCTCCCTGTGTTTTTAGGTCTTCCTTTATTTCTTTGTTAGTGTGGGTTCTACTGCAAAGACATTTTAGTTATACTGTTCTCAGGTTTTCTCAAGGTGTGTCCTGTCCACGAGCATCTTTTCTTCACCTCTTGGTCCACTGGAACTTTTTTTGTTCTCTACCAAAGCTCTTCTTTAGTGATCCTTTCATACCATTTAATTCCCTCTACGTTTTTAGTTTATTAGTGATTGCCTTAGTTGTTTTCTATGTTTCCGCTTCATACAACAGTACTGATTATACACATATTGCTCCATGGTTCCTGCAGCCGTGTGTAGCCTCCTTTGTCTCATTCAGTACCAGACAATTATTACTTTCAAAATATGTTGCATCAAAATCCGACCGTTGAGTGAAACTGGCAAGCTACTGAACTTAAAATTGCCTAGTTGAATGTTGAATTAAGAGTCTACATCATTACGCGCCCTGTCATCATCTTCAGCACCAAGCGAAGAGCTCCAGTTCCGATGATTGTATATACGTCTCGCTTTTTCCATTGAGTGTTGAGCGTCGACAAGTTCCTCTGGTAACTCCTCAGTCCGTGCTGATCTGTCTATGCCTCCGCACTGTTCTCTCGCCCTCACAACATCAGTTCACCACAAAATTATGCAGAACCGGCTAGTCTATATGTCTACTCATTTCCCAATGCACCGATGTGCCCTGGAGAAAATATCGAAAGGTTGCTAACTTTCAGGGACCTCTGAAGTTATGCTTGCCACTCTGCAGGCAGAGTATCTGTCTCCACCTTTCTCAGCATGCTCTGAGAGTAGTTACAATCACGACATGTGAACAGTTGATTATCAGGCCAGTGTGAGGCAGCAGTGACTGCCTCCACCTCCATTCTAACACCAGACGTTGTTATCAATAATGATTAACAATTCTAGTGATATACTGTAGGTGTTATCATCACTAGCAACTGCTTAATGCAACTAATGTATGTGTGGGAGCTGTTGAATTTTGCTGGAACTGCTGTCTATGTGACTTTTTGCATGGGACAGCGATGAGCATCTTGTGTTGTTTGTCTCTAGCACAGAAACGGTGCACTCGTGAGGTGACCCGTTCGCGATAAAGCTGGAACCCCGATAGCGTAATAAGTAAGTAAAGTAAGTCAAGATCCCTTTTCACGCCTTTAGGCGCATCGGGCATATGGGAAGAACACCCATAATTTTACAGTCCAATCGGCACTAAGTGGGTAATGTAGTCAGTATTACGCCGGCCGTCTTTACTTCCCCAGGACATACATCTTGGTACCCATTTTAGGCTTGCGACGCCCCATACCATGATAAAAATCTACGCAGCCAGCAGTGGGTTTCGATCACGGTACGTTAGAATCACGAGTCAGACTCGCAACGCCTAAGTCGATAGCTTATGAGTTGTTAGTTTGTTTGTTTATTCTGCGGAACAACATCATGGCATACGGATGTATCCCATCAGTGCTCCGTTCTCCTTCTGACTCGAGCCTGAGGGTTGAAATTCTCAGCGCAGCGCACGAATTCCGTTGCTCCGGCGAAAATCCTGAAATACTTTAGGTACATGTTTAGGCCACATTTTGCACGGGCACCGCTGTAAGATTAATCTTTTTACTTTTACGATTTTAAACTGCCAAGATATTTTTTACCTGCGCAACAATACACACGGGCGTCCGGTCCTACAATCCAGAGACCAGAGCATTCTCTTTAGCGCTTCACCCCATCTTCAGCAGCAAGCGCAGAGTTGTAATCCAAATAGTATCAGTAACAGTTTGACTGTATGGCGGACAGACTGGCTGGCTCTGCACAACTTGGTGGAATACTGATGTTTGATAAGGCAGGCGTAGTTGGTGCCTTGTGGGAGACCTTGTGCAGTTCGGAGCAGCAGATGGATCACCACAGTCTGGTGAGATTGATGCAGGGGGTAGTGAAGAGAGATTCTGGCAGATACTCGAGGCTCAGAGGAAAGGCAAGACGTAAGTTTATTCAGAATGCTACTGGCACCATTATTATCGGAACTTTTCGCTGGCTGCTGAAGATTAGGACGGAGCGCTTATGGGAATGCCCCGAGTACTGTGATGTCGGTTCTTGAATCAACTCAACTCAACTAAGTCCGTCTCGCCCCTCACGTGACTGTCAACAGCCGATAGTCTGCTATATCTTTGTGGCAATGTGGACGAAGAAAGGAGGACAGGTAGAGACGGACAAAACAGAGATGTTAAAACTACATTTAAATCATAGTTTTTTGTATGTTTAAAAGGTTAAAAATGTTAATGTCGAGAGGATCGACTTCATTACACCGGGTTTTATACCATATAGCTCGGTCTCTCTCCGCAGAACGGCTAGCCGCCTGTCGAGAGCGCCGCACAGAGCACTAACTCCGTAGCTCATGCGACTATCTCCATTGATCTCCATAACAAATTAACTTGTGAACTGAACGGCGCAGTCGTGCAACAAATCCACGACCTTCAGAGCGCAAAAAACGGTTTGACCACTCGATACTACTCTCCATAAAGATACACACAAATTCCCCAAGCTCTAATTATCAGCCACGCATCAAACACACACACACTCAACCACACACACACGCACGCACACACGCACACATCTTTTTCTTAATCGCACTAGTATTTTACGAACACAAATTACATAATAAAAAATAACATTTTATTAAGTTTAATAACAGTTTATATGGACACATACTGGACACATCACGGGGAGACAGAGCCAGCGAATCAGCAAACATACGCTGCAGTGGAAAGTAGTGCACTCAAGAAAAGGAGAGATTCTAGAATAGCGGCTCTCAACCTGCAGGTCGCGACCCTTTTTTTTTTGGGGGGGGGGGGGTCGAACGACCCTTTCACAAGGGTTGCCTAAGACCATCGGAAAACACATATTCATTGTAGTCATAAGGAAAAATAATTGTTTGGGGGTCGCCACAACACGAGGGAACTGTAGTAAAGGGTCGTAGCATTAGGAAGGCTGAGAGCCACTGGTCTAGAAAGTTACCAAGACGAAAGTTAATAAGAACGGTCATAGGTCCTAGATTAGGATCCATTCATGATGTTGACATTAATGTACAGGATAGATAGAACGGAATAAAAGATTGACTGCTAGCCTTTTGTAACATAGACACTGGCACATCACGTAGCTGAAGATCATGGCGGTGGTGATGAAGATGGTGGTGATAAAAAATGAGGAATATGGAAAACAAACTAATCTTTCACTGACTTATCGTCAAAAGTGATGTGAGTATGTTGGTATTGTACCGGTTATGTGTTCTGTAATCGCTCCCAGGATGCCCTCATTTACGTTCTTGCAAGGTTTCTTGGTCAAATATGTATTCTCCAAGCCCAGGACCTACGCGATTCAGTTGCCTTATGTAGTCAGAAAGCTCTTTGATGGCTTCCACTTGTTCTGTAAGAAACTCATCCTCCAGAAAGTCTTCAAACTGCAATGTAGAATCATATGTATAAATTGTAAGACTAGTTTAGGGTCTCTTTCGTGTAAAAAAAAAAAAAAAGCATAACAAAAACAACGTATAGTGTGTGAAGAGATAATCATTGTAAGTCATAGTCAACGAATACCGTTTTGTTAATTCACATTTTACATTTGGACAAACCGTACTCCTGAAATCTGGCCACCCAAGTCACCATTTCCCGTTGTTTAGTCTTCTGGTACCAAAAAGAATTGAGGGACCTTGAGCTCGTTGGTTTGTTTCCGGACTGCGTCATTTGTTCATGGGTGCAGTTAATTATCGGGGTGAACTGAGAGTTGAATGAAGGTGGGTGATATCTTATTTCATTGCTATTATAGTCCTTCATATTCACACCCTCCCTTTTTTTTCCACTTACATAATTCTTGGTTCAATGATGACCTTTTTTTTTTTCACAAGCTCTATTTTCTTATCTGTTGATTTTTCCGGCACTGTTTATGTTATGTTTATAATCCGTCGACAAAGGCTTTGTTCGAAACGTTCCGTTGCGTTTGAGTGCGTCTTTTTTCCTTTCACTCCACTGAGCTTTCTACTCACATTTTGTGTCGTATTTAGCAATATATATTATGAATTATTCAAGTAACAGAAAGTGTATTGATCAGCACTCATAGAAAGAATTAGAGGTTTATCTATTAGCAATACATAAAACGGAATGAGTACAGCTCTTGCCCGTGGATTATTCTTGCTCTCTGCAATATTGTGCAGCTCCAGCAGTGACTGTTTGACATGCTTTTCAATATACGTTTTATGAACCTGGCAGAGGCTATAACAATTAAAATGTACAATACCGCGTTGTGGAGACCAAAAGAGTATGTGTTAAATTTGAAATGTCCGTAGTGACAATGGGACTAATCCTAAATTTCTGTTGGTAAAATGTACGTCATAAGCAAAGTCACTGCAATCTGTTTATTTAAGCAGGAAGGATTCATTTTTTACATACACCCCCCCCCCCCCCCCATTTGTCCCTCTTTTTCCACTTACGTTATTCTTAGTTTGATGCTGACCTTTTTTTTTTAAGAAGCTCTGTTTAGTTATCCGTTTAGTTTTCTGGCACTGCTTGTGTTGTGTTTACTACTCCGTTGACACAGGCTTTGTTCGAAACGTTCCGTTCCGTTTGAGTGCGTCTTTTTCCATTCCCTCCGTTGAGCTATCTAGTCACATTTGGTGTTGTATTTAACAATATATAAAACATAACGAGTACAGCTCTTGCCTGGGGATCATTCTTGCTCTCTGCAATATTGTGCAGCTCAAGCAGTGACTGGTTGACATGCTTTTCCAGCCTTAGTGCAGTCTCCATGGCTTCTAGCCCATTTCCCCAAACGTCTTCATCGGGTTTCTGCAGGGGGAAAAAACATCAACTTAATTTACATAACCAAATTTCTGCAGCTCTGCTTGTTCTTATTATCGTCATAGATATCGTCGTCGACGTTATCATCATCATCATCATCATCATCATCATCATCATCATTCTGCTTGTCTTCTTATGTTTTTTTTCACTCTCCCTCTTTCCAGTTTACCTCATTAAAAAATGAAGATAATATCTATATAGATTTTACGTGTCATTTATCAAATGCAGTATGCCTGCTGGTTTTTATTTCTCTTATGTTTTTCTTGAAACTGTCGCATGCTCTATGGCGTCATCTTTCACTTATTCTGCGCCGATTGTATTTCTTATGGGAATCAAGACGGCCATCAATCGAATTACACTTGATAGTACAATGCGGCAGCGTCGTCATTTGAAGTCAAATTTCTAATTCCAAAAGGATGACTTAATTTTCCATTGTTGATTGGTCTGTGCCATTCTATTACTACGTATTTCATCTGCATTTCTGAATGCCTGTGAATATATGTCAAGTTGTTTGTTATTTTGTTTATATATACAAACCTTTTGCAACCAGTGACAAATATGGACCCTGATTAAAACTAATTAGAACAAAAACATAATAAAAGATGTTACATATTATTAGTACATTTTACACAACTAGGACATCGCGCAAGTGATAAAAACCCGGTGTTTACAAAGTGCCACCATGCGGATGAGGATCACCGGTAGCGAGGTCCCGGAAACCGCGTGCCAGTGTGGGGCTTCAAAATAAAGAAACACAGCATCTCACACGGGAACGTGGGGTTAGGTTACATATTGTATTGTACTTTCCCCCCACCAGGACATCACACAAGCGATATACACCTGATGACACAAAGTGCCACCATGTGGATAAGGATCACCGTGGAGAGGTCCCAGAAACCGCGTTTAGCATTTAGGCCATATTTATTGCCGGGCTATATTGGGGCCCATGGCAAGAGCCAGTGAAGGGCTTAAAAAAAAAACACACACGATAGATTGCATCCCACAAAGTGATGAGTAAAGTGCAGGTTACATATCTTACAAGAGCTGACAGGCTAACATAAGTAACCAGTCCCGAAATGGGACACACAATTTTTTTTTATATAAGAAAACCCCCAACCCGCCTGACTTCATGTTACTTCGAAACCGTTGTCGGGGGAGGGGGGAAAAGGGGGGGGGGCCTTAAGATAACCTTACTATTGAAAGGGGTTTCTGCGACTTGCGTCTAGCGGATTCTCATGCGAATGGTAGTACTCTGTGTCAATGAGTGGTTATTGTCCCTTTTGCGATCCTACTAGGGTTAAACGTCACTCACCCCGTAACATAAAGGGTTGAAATTCAAATTAAGAGAAGCATAAATGAAGAAAATAGAAGAAGATCAGAATTGAAGTAATTCAAACAGTTTGTAAAAGAGCAACAGTTATGGCCATCTGTCGCGAATGCCATGTTACCAGATGCCCAAGAGGGCTAAATAAACATAATGGGCACGGAACTGTGGAAGACTATGCAGAAACGGAACGACAGTACCAACAACAGCCTGAAAGAAGTAAAGATCAGCTTATCTAATGAATTGCAACAAGCACACATAACCGCCACCCCCCCCCCCCCCCACTCCACTCCCCCTCCCCATTTACCCAACAGTTTGATGAAGTAATTAAAGAAAAGGAAGAAGATCACTCTACTCTGTAGTTATCAACAGTGAAAGATTGTAATAATGCAGACACAAACAATACATTGCACAATTTATTGCTTGGCATATTTCAGTTTTATTTCATCAGGTGCATTACTACAGAGTTGAATCAACACACAATGAAGCACAAAATGAATCCTTTCCTGTTGAAGTGCATAAACCACATTGTCGAGTTGCTGTACATCTATCCGCCGGAAATTCAAAACCAGTCACATTACTACCATGGTAGCTTCAATTCAATCACGAGATCTTTCTGTTTACATAACATAGAAGAGAGGGGTTTTATTAATACAGCCTCAGAATATGCCAGGCAATAACATGTGCAATGCATTGTTTGTTATTCAAATTGACAACAGGTAACCATTGTTCTGAACTGAAAGATTTAACGAATTGTCAGACTGGCTGCCAGCAAGAGTTAAGTGTTATATAACCTTAATGTCATGCAGAAGAATCTGGCCGCCTCGCTGGTTCTGGTACTTCATGAGTTTCTTGGCATGCTGCCTTTCTTCGTTAGAGAGTTTCTTGAAGTATTTGTGGAAACCAGGGAGAGCCACGTCATCTCGGTCAAAATAGTAAGCCTGTAGGGAGTAAAGTGGTATCAGAAAAGGAAAAAAAGTAAGTAGAGACGGTTATCATAAAATGGCTGCGCCAGCCAGGGGTTCACGCACACACACAACACACACACACACACACACACACACACACACACATGTACACACGAACACACACAAAAAACATTATCGATTTTTACTTTGGGAAGGGGAGGGGGAGGAGAAGGGGAGGGTCAATCCCTTCACATTTTCTAGGTGATTTTTTTAAGTGGAAAATAATGTTGTTAATAATAATAGGAAAAATACTAAATAATAAAAGTAATAATAGTAATAATATTAAAAATAATATTAATACTGTGTATGTGGCCAATAAATATATAAGTATACTTGAAAAATTATATAATGGGTAAAAACAAAACTTCTAATATGTGGTACAGGACGTTAACAAAATGGGTTTTTGGAGCAGCTTGACACTTATAAGTTTTTAAGAGTTGGGCTGATTGAGTTATTTAAAGAACCGACATAACAGCACTCGGGGCATTCCCATAAGCGCTCCGTCTCCATCTTCAGCAGCCAGTGAAGAGTTCCGATACTAATGGTGCCAGTAGCATTCTGATTAAACGTCCGTCTTGCCTTTCTTCTAAGCCTCAAGCATCTGCCAGAACCTCTAGTCACTCCCTCCCCCCCCCCCCTTCCTTCCTGCATCAATCTCACCAGACTGTGGTGATCCATCTGCTCCTCTGAACTGTACACGCTCCAGACATACTCCTCACCCGTGTCCTCCGCAGTGAAGCTTGCCACGTTTTTAAGAATGCTCAGCCAACCACTCTCAACAAAATGGGAGGAGGGGCAGTCAGGTTACCTACACTCCTTGGTTCCAGTGCCTCTGCCACCACTATGGTGAGCAATTACTTGTTGCCTGTCGCGACATCCTAGCACATCGGTTCGACAAATTCGTGCTTCTTCCTCCAGCGCAGCAGCTATCGCAGTGCTTCAATGCGCAACGTACTCAGTAACAGCTAACTGGTAAATCTTCTTCCTTTGCCCTCGCAACCAGTTTGTGGATGCTAGTCCTGTTTTAATATCTATTTTCAGCAGACGATTTATTGTCTCTGATTCCCCTTTTCCTGACTCGCTGAATCGCAGCGAATTCAGCTTGTCTGTCCTGTCCATACTTCTTCCTCCACTAACAGACCGGCCAGTCTATCAGCTCTTTCTGTCGCCTCTTGCTTATCAGTATCGTGTTTCGTGTTCAATTCATAACAGAAGCAAGATTATTGTCTGATCACTACGGCTGTAGGGTTGACCTGGGCCAAAGTAAAAGTAAAAGTAAAGGACCCTTGTCCACGCTTTCAGACGTATTGGGTATTTAGGGCTAGACCTATTTTTATAGACCAAATGGCACTTGGTTGGTGACGTGGTCATCATCACGCCAGTCGCCTTTACTTCCCAGGACTGAACCTGGTACCTATTCAAGGCTGGGTCGACCTGGGAGCCAAGGTCATTTTGGAAAAAAGTACAGACTCTGTCAGGACCCGAACCCACGACCTTCCGATCCGCAAGCGAGCGTCTAGCCGCTAGACGAGGGCGGCTCCCTAGGGGCGACTTGAGATTATAATAATTACAATGCGTTTCAAAGGTCATGCCCTCACACTTTAACAAATATCTTGAAAAGAATCAGCATGAATGTATGCATGTTGCCTTAGATGTCCCATGTCCTTGTGATTTTACAATTTTTTTATTGCACAGGTGCTGCTGTTTTCAAATTTATTTGATTTTTTGTTTTTTGACCAATAATTTGTGTACCCCTAAACAAATAGAATACATAGTAAGTGACACAAACGTAGGGATTATCTGGAAATAAATTACGATGTGCAGTGATGCGTGATGATTATTTTGATTGATTGGAACGAAACACTGTGTTCATTTAATTTACGGGATGCTAATGTTGGAGATGAGTGAAATGCATATGAAACGAGTGCAATTGGATGTTTTCTCTTACTCGGTTAACTGTACCCCCGCTGACTTGGTGCTTTTAATCACAACACAACCTGCCTCAGGAAAATCTTTCATTTACATTGAAAATATATACTATTTATAAAATGATTGATGTTCTTATATTTATTAGCAACAGCAGTAAAACAAATTACGATAAACCAATATCGGTGATTAGACAAACTGTTTAACTCTTTACGTTCACGTGACAAAAGTGTCGGAACAGTTTGGAAAGCTCTGACGTAGACAAAAGCTTGGGTTACCTCATTTCTGCAGATACGTCATTTCACTTGTAAATCTGAGCGTCCTCAAACAATTATGGACATTTGTAGATTTGTCGGCACTATTGCAAGCCAATACAAAATTAACACTATTTGACTTTACTGAAGGAGCAGTGAAATGTACCCTGGGTACCGTAAAAAGTAGCACAGTTCTTCTTTGCTTTCCCAGCATACAATGCTTCGGTAAGAAGACTTGTTTCCTCCATTGGCTCAGCGAGAGATTCAGTAAAGTCAAATTCGTTCGTAAATATAATTTCAAACATCTTCACTTGTAAATTTAATTTAAAACATTTCACACGCATACAATGTTATGGGCATTTGATACAAATGAAAGACATTTCTTAAACATCAGATCATCGAGAAAATATACGTTGAAAACAGTTTAAAAATTTTTTTTTATTAAAATATGGAACGCTTCACGAATTTGCGTGTTATCTTTGCGCAGGAGCGATGCTAATCTTCTCTGTATCGTTCCAAATTTAGTATGTGCGAACAATTTAAATGGAATTTAATTTAGGAGATGAGTCATCGTTATGTATGCAGATCAAAATCCTCAAGAGAGTAAATTGCTTTACCATTGACAGGTAAACGTAACTTGCATACAGCTCTAGGTTGATCTGACGATTGACTCCTGCTTCACATTCCGGCGGGTAGTTCTGTCGGCACAAAGACATCTTCGCTGTTAGTTGATGTGTGGTCAATAATCCAGAGGAAGACTGAAGGTATCGTGTTTTGGGAACGAAACAGCTGAAGGACCTAGCTACGGAAGCGTTCGTAGTCAAGCTGGCCATCTCCCCCCTCACTGCTACGATGCGAAGCCAGGTTTTCACCGTTTTTGACAGCTTCATAATGCGACTTTGAGCTGTCGTTTCACATGTTACGAAAGATAAGGTAACAAATAATTACAGTTATATATATATATATATATATATATATATATATATATATATATATATATATATATATATATATATAAAGAAAGAAAGAAAGAAAGAAAGAAAGAAAGAAAGAAAGAAAGAAAGAAAGAAAGAAAGAAAGAAAGAAAGAAAGAAAGAAAGAAAGAAAAAACACACAAGGTGGGTGGCAAGAGTGAGAACATTAAACAAGACTTCATCCACACACAAAAATAATAATAATAATAATCATGAGATCATGATTACACACTATATCAATGTATTTTGCTGCATTTACCAATTTGTCAAAACTATATCCAACGCTCCGAGAGGCGGACATATAGAGCACTGCTCTCTTGATCCGGCAGCTTCTGACGCTTCTTTGTTTCAAACGTACTGGTGTTACCCTCCTTTGGAGTAAACAAGGCAGGTCGATGGAGGGATCATAATGCATGGGCAACATATGGTTTCTGCAATACTCTCTAGGCTTTGGGCTTTGAGTAATGAAGAGAAATAATGAGCCAATCACAACAGATAAAAAGAGCTGGAAAGCATTTTTGTAGAGATTTATAACCCAGACTGATCATAATGAAAGAGAACGTATTGACTTCCCTTTGTGATATCGTCTCGGACTACCCTAGTGTTCTGCAATTTCACCAGTGCTCTTCAGTGTGTATACAAGCAAGACTGCAAAACTTGAATCACCAGGTGTTGGAAGGATTTTGACATTTGCAGATAATATTCTCGAATTTAGGCAGGAGGACGATAGGAAACTGACAGCCAAAAAGCTACAGGCAACTGTAGACAAAGTAACTGATGTTGCTGTCAATAACTCCAAAAGGCGGTTATTTTGTGGTGCTTTCTGGACAATAGAATTGTAAATCTAATGTTCCAAGCTTCAAAAGTAATGGCAGAAACATAAAAAGAGAAAGCAAACTGAGTTACCTAGGTGTCATTTTCGAAAGACCCCTGTCCTTTAGGGATCATTTAGCGACAGCTGCTGAAAAATGTCAAAAAGGACCTAATGCACTCAAGATTATGGCAACGATGAACATGAAACAAAGAATGCTGTTCACAATGTTCTAGCATTTGTTCCTGTCAGTTACAGATTATGGAATCGGAATGCTCACCATATCAAAGTGTCTGCTGATAAAACGAACGCCTACAGAACGAGGACATGCGGGTAACTCTGGGATGTACAAGAGATACTCCGGTAGTATGTATATGATATTCTTTTTATACTTACACTGACTACTACTGCAGACAGGCTCACAGTTCTACAAGTAAAGTCATATTTCTGTATAGCTGCAGACAAGAAGCACCTACGCCATGAAGCCCTGAGTATAGTTTGGGGTCACCGACCGAAAAGAGGAAGGTTTTGGATGGCGCAGGCGAAAGACACAATTAGATATTTATGTCCTAATTAATTCGGATGAGGAGAGGAGTGGGTCAAAGTGTCCGAGCAAGATTCAAATTTGTGTAGGGTTCTTATCACTTTATGTCGTGAGTCCAGAAACTGGCCAGCTGGTGCTACAGAATCAGAAGTTCAACAAATGATTCATTACTATTCATCATTACTATGGTTCATCGCAAAAGTGAATGGACGTCGCTTAGTGTCGCAAAGTCTGGCATTTTATATCACAACGTCTAGTTTAAGAATTGAGGTGGGGGCAGTCACTGTTGCCTTTCGCTGGCTTGAACATTCATCTGCACCACTTGGTGGTGAATTGATGTATGACGAACTAGATGTTGTGAGGGCTCTTTGGGAGCGAGTGAACACTGCTAATGCACAAACAGATCATTACGGTCTGAGGAGAATGGCGCTGTTGGGAGTTGCCTGGGGATCTGGCTGACGCTCTACACTCAAGGGAAAGGCGAGACAGATATACAGTCAGCTAGTAGTGCCATCGAAGCTGGTAACTCTTTGCTTGTTGCTGTAGATTAGAATGGAGCGCTTATGGCAACGTCCCGAGTACTGTGACGTCGATTCTTAATTCAACGTTTGACATTCTTTCTTCTTCTGTGAATGTTAGAAAATAATATAAATAGACGTTCTTCATAACGCAGTTTATATATACATACTAACTGGTATGTTTACCTAATCAATTCATTTATAATTTACAACTAGTCTGATGAAAGAAAACAAAGAAGACAATAATACCTTGTATATTAAGGAACTAATAACTAGGATTTTTCAACTTGCCCGTTGGAAGAAAATTTTGCAATAACAACAAAGTTGGTTTCACTATGACGTAATTGGCGCGTCTCTGTATTGTTCAGTTATGTGCAGACATGGAGTTGGGTTGACTGAAAAAAAAAACCGACATCACAGCACTCTGACATTCTCAAAACAGCACCGTCCATATCTTAAGCAGCCAGGGCAGAGTTCGATCACCAGTGGTACTTGTAGACGTAGCCGTCTTAAAAGAGTATTTTGAGCCCCCCGGGGGGGGGGGGGGGGTGAAGTGTGCTGGGGCCCCTACAGCAACCACTTACATGAATGAAATGTAAATTGTCCATATTATTACAAATATATCTATTTTACTAGCACTTCAACAAAACTACCCTTTGGGAACAATCAACGGAATCAGTAGAAAAAGAAGATTATCATGGCCTGGAGAGAATGAGGAACCTGGGTGTAACTCTCAGAGGAAAGGCAAGAGGGACATATAACCAGATTGTGACCGGTACCATCAGTGTTGGAACTCTGCGCTGGCTTCTAACGATAAGGATGGAGCACGCATGGGAGAATGCCCTGAGTTCTGTGATGTCAAGTCCTGACTCGGCTCAATTCAACTGTCTTGAAATTTTTTTCAGATCTGCTGAGAAATACCTCTTAGAGAAAATTATGATGATCAATTGTATCTCTTAAGAGACAGACTTCGTTGTTGTTCCCGTTTTCTCCCATCACTGCAATATGTACCTAGACACACTTTTAAATCATATGCACTAAATTTGTCTCTGCTTTCTTGGAGATCAGTTTTTAAAGACTCAAAACTATTCATAGCAACAGGGATGTTCCCATCCTTTGATTTCTGGACCTTGCTTGTTTTATTATTTTATCAGTCTTAATAGTGCTCTTTACAGAGCTCATCAACGAAAGTTACATCTCCCCCTGACACTTCGCTGAGGTACAAGGTGGAAGAGAAGAAGCTTGTTTCATTCATTCTTGTTAGCATGCCATTTCAAAGAATTGTAAGAAAGATTGTTTACATATTTCCATTTTTTTTTTTTTTTTGGGTTGTATACAAGCAAGACTGCAAAACTTGAATCTGCCTCTTTTCCTGCATTCATTAACTAACTGTTCACAGCTGATAGAGAATCCAGTGCATGTTTAATTTTTTATTCTTGCTTGAAACCCCCACACAGAACATGCACAACATCAAAGTGCGTTGATCACCGTTTGTCAGACAGGCGCTATCCACAGTCTTTTCATAAGGATGTCAACTCATCGGTGGAATGATTCCACCGATGAGTTGAACACAAAATAAAAATAAAAAATAAAATAAAATAAAATAAAAATGAAAACAGATGTTGAACAAGGTCAAATAATTTTACAGACTGTAGTCAACCCTCTGCTGCTTGTACTTCCACCAAGTTCAGGTTGTATCAAGGAACATAGATGGCAAACTCATGGCGTTGATGAATGGGAACTTGCAATCCAAGCGACCAGACATAATGGAGTCATTATCGTATGACTAATCGCGGAAATTTGAAAGTGATATTATGTTTTCAGAAAATCCACAACAGTGTCGGTTAGATTCTCAGCTCCATGAGAAAATATAAGAATGAACATCGAGAAACCTTTCACAGGCTCACAGCCATCAATGTACTGGGTAGTAAATGTCAGTTGATCTGCACCTGTGTCAGAGATGTCTGGAGTGGAATCTAAACTTTATTGAATAATTATTACTATTACTCTTTTACTTTTTCAAGTATAGCGCAATGTATGTAAGTTGTACCCCACCAGGACACCACAAAAGCGATAAACACCCGGATACGGATGAGGATCACCCATGGAGAGATGCTGGAAACCCCGTTCAGCCATTAGGCCATATTTCAGGCGCGGCTATATTTAGGGCCCCTGGCAAAAGCCAGGGTGGGGTTCAAAACAACTAAAAATTGCATCCCACAAGAAGATGACGAGATATATAGTACAAATAACATATTGACCATTTAATGAATAAATTCCTCACCACAAATTTTGACAGATAAATATGGCGGAATCCCTTTTGCAGAATGTCCATACATTTTGATGTGTTCAGTAAAAGAAAGGGTCAAATACACTCACGAGCTCTAGTAGCTAAATAGTTTACCATTTTGTGCTGACCCAGCAATCTGATTGTCTCCGGGAAATGGAAAGCTAGAAAGAGAATTACAGAAACAGCACACGCCAACACTCTGTATCGATATTCCTGGGATGTAACAAAGTCAAATAATATGCACTTCCAATTTCTATATCATTATCATCAAGTTCCTTGCCAGCTTGTGTAAGCGTTCTTGCCTCTCCACAGATCTCGGCCTTTGGTGTTCAGGACCAATTCCACTGATGATTTTCCTCTATGATGAACCTTCGTATTCAACCACCAAGACGACAACAAAGAAACAAGACTTACAAAAAGCTTAACAGCTCCAGGCTAAGAAATAAATCCACGGAAGATAATTTTGTATCCACACTTAAAAGTCGTCTACAATCCATCTCATTAGACGGCCCAAAAATGAAGGAAACATGGACCACCCTGAGAGATCTGATCTACAGCGTAGATCTTTCTTGAACAATCGGGGTCTTATAAAGCAATTTAAACGACCTTGTGATGGTAAACAGAGTAGCCATTCACGTTTTACAAACTCGCCATCTACAGTTCACTTTTGAACACAATGATTATTAAATGCCCTGTCCCTACAGTCTCTACTCTAGCTGTTTTATAACTCTGCTGGAGTTTCAAAGATTTCATATTATAAAACATTAATTTAAACTTCTCAAATATTAGCCTTTTTTTCATTACAAGTCTCTTTTCATCCACATATTATCATGATTCACCTGTGCTCACATCACACAAGCGAGCATTTTAATTGCTGCCACCTCCATGGCACCTGCAGACCACTCCATGCAATGTGGTTATGACTCTACACAAGTCTGTTCCGCTGGCACTCTGACCCACCCCTCACCTCGCCTTATGTTCTGCCGTATGTAAATCTCTGATAGTGTCCTTTGCTGCGCCGTCCATGACTTCACTCTTTAGCTCCAAACTCTTAACTGCAACCAACGATTCTTGCAAAAGGGTTTATGTGTGTGTAGCTTTTCTGAGATATGACTTCGCCTGCACCAACTTGGTCCTAGCGATGGGCAAACACTGAAGACGAACAAGCATATTTAGGGGAAAATAATTTCTTCTAACTATGGATGCATACAAGATTTGACATTAGTTGAATGAGATATTTTAAATAAAGAATGGACATCACAGCACTAGGGATAAACATGCTTTCTTTATCTTCAGCAGCAAACGCATCCAATGGATGGCACCAGTATCAGTCTGTATATACGTCAGGCGTTCTCGTCTTTCCCCTAAGTGTTGATCGTCGGCCAGATACCCTTGTCATTCCTTGCAGCAATATTATCCTAAGACCGCGATGATCTCTTTGTGCTTCCGTACTGTTTTCTCTCTTCTAAAAGACCATTTTTAACATCTAGTTTGTCAAGCATTAATTCGCCATCCTCTGTCTCTCTTTCCACAGATCTTTTCAGTGGTCACAATATGTTCCGAATTTTCCCTCTTCTCATAACTTGACCAAACGATAATGACTGTATTTTTTAATGTTTGTTGTCTAAGAGCATTCGCCTCTTTTAAAATACCTGTGTTGCTCTTTTTTGCTGTCCATGAAATTCTAAAGTTTTCTCTTTAACCACATCATCAAGGCCTAAAGATTTTGCTTTTTTTTTAAAAATTGTCTAGCCTTCACAGCCGTAAGTTAAGGTTTGAGGTTTGAACAACGGATCAACATCTTGGCACACCGGTGGGGACTCATAAGTGCTCCATTTTTCTATTAACTCAAGTCCGAGTTTGAAAAATCTTCGCACAGTGTTCAGGCTTTGTAGCAGCAACGAGGATCCTGAAATACTTTGGGTAGATTTTTAGGTAGCCGTTATGCTACTCTTTTCGATTTCCAACTGCCTAGGGATTTTTTACGTGCGCAACAATACACACGGGCATTTAATCTCACTACCGAGAGACCCGGGGAATTACTAGAAGAAGACAGCCGTATGTTAAAAATGATTCAATATAATCATCATCATGTAGCAGGTCCTTTGCAGAACTGCACTCTCATCACAGTCTGCCTGTAAGAAACTCGGTCTCTTGCCAGTTCCCCCGCCTCATGAACTCTTACACTCAAGGAGTCACTTATATCCTGTGCCCATCTTCGTGTCGGCCGACCTCTGCCCCTCCTTCCTGGTACCATGCCTTCAGCTATAATTTTTTTTCCAATCCGTCGTGGCGCTTGATATGACCAAAATATTTCAGCTTTCGAGAAAGGATGCTGTTTTTTTTAGCCAATCTTCCTTGGTGTTCAGATCTTTTAAGATGTCAATATTTCTCATCTTCTTTGTCTAAGATATTCTGAGAATCTTTCTATAGCATTTCAGCTCAAAAGCCCCGATTCTCTTTCTCAAGGACTGAGAGATAATCCACGACTCACATCCGTATGTAGCCACAGGGAAGATGCATGCTCTCAAAATTCTAATTTGTATTTCCTTGCTGGTGCTTAACCATAGACTTTTAAGGCTGTTCAATCTTTGCATTGCTTTGGCCATCCTCCTTTCAATTTCTGTCGAACAGTCTCCATTGTTTTTTATTATAGAGCCTAGATATTCAAAGTTTTCAATTTCTTTATCATTTATTGTTATTTTTGGGTGACAGCCAGTTTTATCTGTGGACATGAGTTTCGTTTTCTTTAAATTCAAGAACGCGTGTTGATCTTCACTGTGATTTTGGACGGACAATATTAAATTTTCTATTCCCTTTACGCTGTTAGAAAGGAGGACTGTGTCAATTGCGTAGAGGAGTTCCGGAATAGGGTTGCCACCAATTTTAAGCTGATCATAACTGTCACAAGTCTGGTCATTTTTTTACATTTCTCGTTATATTTTCTGCGCATATTATTGAATAGGTATGGTGAGAGAATGCACCCCAGCCTCACTCCCTTTTGCACCTCGAACCAATCAGATGTTTCACCAGCTGCTCTGATGGCTGCTTGTTGTTCATGATAGAGATTTTCAATTAAATGCACTAAATGCGCTGGAAACCCCATACTTTTTATAATAGTCCACAGTTGGTAGTGCTGGACACAATCAAATGCCTTGCTATAATCAATAAAGCAAGCATGAGGATCTACATAGCGTGCATTAAAATATTCAAATTAGATTTTACGGAAATTGCCGACTGGCTATTTCGGTAACTTCCGGCTTGCGTGGACAGCTATTTTTGAGATCCGCCACGGAAAGGAAGCGGGGTCAGTTCCTATAATAATATCTAGCTAAAATAGCTTTTGTTGTCATCGCGAGTCCTCTTCTCCAAACATAAATTAGATCTTACTGACTGTCATGGAGAAATCAGCAGGTAATTATGCACTTAAAGTAAAAATGTAAGTGAGGTCAAAGTAATTCAGGACCATTTTGAATTTTGTGTTGTAGTTAAGTTAGTTTTGATTAGCTTCTGCTAGTAGTTTTACTTTCATTTCAAAACAAGGAATTGGTTGCCAACAGGTGTTCACTTCACTTGAATCTTTTTCATATCATGGTCCACAGTTGGGATCCTTCGTAAATTGTAGCTGATTTATAGTTACCTTCACCAGTGTATTATAATTAACAAAAAGTGTGGATAGTTTTGTATTAATTGTTTTTAAAAAAAATGACATCTTAAAATCACAGGAACATTAAAATTAAACCCGAGTTCTCAGACTCAGACAAACACAACACAAAAAATAGTCTCGTTTTTTTTTCGAAGTTTGTATGGATTGGATTGGAGTTATAATAGTTCACTAACACAAGTCTTCATTGATATTTTAATAATTAATCAGTCCGTCTTAAAAATAAAAGTAAAATCTACCTAAAGTATTTATTGGCATTGGATTGTTCATAGAGTACTGTGAGTGTGGAGGAACTACGAAGTAGAATATCTAAATCCAACATTAAATAACATTAAGACAACGCACTCAGCAACTCTACACACTGTGTTGTATGTGGTACCATCCAATGACCAAATCTTTTCAACTGTTGCTGTTTAATAAATTGAATACATTTTTTCAAGTCTTAGTTTTCTTCTGATTTCTTGGCTATCCTCCGAATAACAGGCACGAAAGATGGCGGCCGCAAAATATCCTGACGAGCCTCAGTCACGTGTCAGTTGCGCGCTTGCGGTCACAAGCACATCATGGGAAAACTAACTAGGATTAGTGTCTGTTGACAATTTCGAGAGACGGAACAAACCGCTGAGTTAAACTCGCCGCCGAGAGTCTCCCCCGGCGGCGCGGATGGGGCTAAACTAGATGGCTGGGACCCACGAGCAGCAGCTTCCACATCTCCTGCAGCTTTTCTTGTGAGTCCTAGCCATCTAGTTTAGCCCCAATCCATGCCGTGTGGGGGGCTACTCTCGGCGGTGGCGGTAGTTGCCGGAAAACTGCAAATTAAGTCACAGGAAGTGCCCAATTGACACGTGACTGAGGCCCTGTTTTTGGCTGCCATCTTTTTTGCCTGTTATTCGGAGGTTAGCCGGTTTTTGGATGCTACTAAAAAGAAAGATGCGTTACCAAAGCGGTACGAGCCGCGACTTGTTCTGATCGTACTTAGCCAAGTTTCAGTGGCGTAGCAGCCACAAACAGCAGATTTTCAGGCACTATTTACAACTTCTGTGCCATAATTTTCAGATATAAAGACATAAAATTATCGGTGAGCAGTCGATTTCATATAAAATTTTTTTCGTTCCTTATTAGTTTTGACTTAAAATTTTGAATGTTTACAACACTGAGGCTCGTCAGGATATTTTGCGGCCGCCATTTTTCGTGCCCGTTATTCTGAGTATCGCCAATTTCTTTATTTTTAATGTTGTCTCCTCTCATTATTAATTTAGCTTTCCTTAACCCTTTAGGGCGGGGGGGGGGGGGGGGGGGATGACTGGACTGATCTATCTGCCAAACAGCAAAATAGTATGTCTATCCAGGAATATAAGCTTTGAAATTGGGTGGCTAATCTTCATACCAGCGAATCAGATTGTTTCTCACATTTCTTGCACATGTGGGCTGTTTATTGTTGGCTTTCTTGAAAGTTTGTTGTGTTCTGTAATTTTACATCAATTTTGGGGGGTGGGGGGGGGGGGGGAAGTTACCTGTGCCCATCAGTGGTGAAAAGAGTGTTGCGTCATAGCAACCAAAATGTAGTAGAAGGCAGGAAAAGTAGTAGAATCATGTAAAAGGAGTCTTGAAGACCTTGCTTCCCAAAACATAAGGGTTAGAGTTAGGACTTATTCAGGCTTCCTTTATCAGAAAATTTAGTCAAATTGTTCAGTTTAGTAATGTTTGTCATAAGTGATTAAAACAAAAATGCATTCATAAATTTGTAAATTTGATAGCTAATTTTAATAAATGTTAATATATCATTGTCATTCATAAAGATTTTGTTAGTTCATTCAATTTCCTGCACGAATATCTTTAGTTTTATGTCTTCTTCTTCTCCCTCAGCATTCCGAGACCTTGAGGTTCATTGATGCAGATATTACCCACCTCCATTCATCTCTCTGGATGGCCTTCTCTTTCCAGTTGGTGATACCAAGTGTTTGCAGGTCTGTCTGGATATTATCTCTCCATCCTCTTCTTGGTCTGCCTCGTGGTCTACGACCATTCATCTCCCTCTTGTATACAGTTTTTACTTCTCTGTCATCTGACATTCTTTCAGTATGTCCCAACCATTTCAGTCTATTAGCTCTCATGATTCCAGTTATCAGTGGTGATTAAAAACCGAATATGAATTTTGTTGTTGCTTCTCACTTTCCATTCACTGCTGCTTGTATCTTTGAAGGGTCCAAAGATTCGTTGTAAGACTGTTTTCAAAAGCCTATAAAAAGACTTAATCTCTTTTAGTTGTGCTCCAAGTTTCAGAGCCATATGAAACGATTCGCCTTATCAACGTTTGACATATTTTGATGTTGGTTTTATTTTTAAAACATAAAATTCCCCTCCCCGAAGGCTCCGTCTTATTGGCACTGAAACTCCCAAAAGGTGCCATCTCTAAAGGGTTTATTATTTAATCACTGTTGTTAAGCAAAGATCTAAATTTGGTATTGGTGGCATAATGTCACCCCAAAAAAGCTTTTTTTCTTTTGATGTATCCATGGCAAATTAGTCAAGCCTTTTGTCTTGAAGGTCTTGGGTTCATTTCACGGCTGCACCATTCAGTTCGCAAGTGCAGTTTGTAACAAGGATCCTGTGGATCCTCACTGGAGCTACAGTGTGTGCTTGTGTAACTCTCTCATTAGGCAGCAAGCCATTCTCTGGAGAGAGACCAAGCCAAATGGGATAAAAGCCTGTGCAGTGAATTTGATCCTCTCTATCTAAACCTTTAACTGTAACCTTTTAAAATGATTATCCCATATAGAAAGACTGGTTGTCCACAAGAGTATCACACAAAGTACAAACTTCTTAGCTTTCAATAGTGACCTGAAAGATCTTGAAAACTGCATTCACAAATCAAATAAATGGAGTCTGAAATGAAAGTCATAACCTTCTGAGCCTGAAGCATGTGGCCTAATACTTCAGTGAGGAGATCTGATCATATGTTTTACTTATAAATCTGTCAAGCTGTTTTAATAGCATTGACTTCTTAGAATTCTTTCTGTAATATGTTCTTTGTTGTTTTATTCAGGGATTCCTTCTGATGTGCCTAATGAAGGTCACCCACAGTCCTGTCATTCTGGGCCACCACCACCCTATATGGAAAATCCGCATCCTCAGGGTGGCAGCATTCCTCCTGGGCAAGGTTATCCCCAGTATGACCAAGGCTTGACCGCAAATCCCCAAGGTTACCCTCCAGCCGGGCAAGGGTACCCTCTAGCCGGGCAAGGATACCCTCCAGCCGGGCACGGGTATCCTACAGCCGGACAGGGATATCCTACAGCTGGACAGGGTTATCCGACAGCTGGACAGGGTTATCCTCCACCTGGACAAGCCTACCCACAAGGATATGGGTACCCTCAGCAACAGTTTCATCACGGCAATGTTGTAGTAAGTTCATAGTTTTTTTTAATGTTTTCCCAGCACACATGGTCAAGTAGCATTCTGACTAAACGTCTGTTTTGCCATTCCTCTGAGCCTTGAGCATCTGCCAGAACCTCTTGTCCCTCCTTGCTGCATCCGTCTCACCAGACTGGGGTTCCATCTGCTCCTCCTAACTGTTTATGCTCTCCCACAAGGCACTAACAACGTCTTCCTTATCATGCATCATTATTCCACTAAGTTGTGCACAGCCGGCCAATCTGTCCGCCTGTTCATTTCCCAACACACTGGCGTGCCAGTGAAAGGCATCGGAGCATATTGATTTTCAGTCCAGGAGATTTTTGAATTTGAGATAACAGCAGGCTGATAAATTAGCTACTGCCGCTCCTTTAGGCGGTGAGCTACTTTGTGATAAATGTGCTAATTGTACATGGTGAATGATGTCTTGGATAAAATGGACACTGCAGAATAACATACAGACAATCCATGCATGGAAAGGCTAATCCAACAGGGGCTTATCAGAGGTTTTGGAGGTTCACTACTGAGGGGGACAACATAGACAGACTTTTAATCAGGTTGCAACTGGTGCTAATAAAATGTCGACTCTTTATTGGCTACCGAAGAAGGGGATGGAGCATGTGTGGGAATGTCCTTAGTGCAGTGATGTCAGTTCTTGATTCCTTCATTTATTTATTCTTCATAGTTGACTTAATGAGAATGTCAAAAAAGTTCATTAAGTCTCCATCACTGGCAAGGATCCAGATGTGTTTATATGCTAGAATCACACATTAAAATAATCACTCTGTTGTGCCTTTATACGTCACACACAAGGCACCCAGTTAACTCATCCATTTTTTCTATTCTTTGCTCTTGTTCCAGTATCATTGTCTAGACCAACAGCTTTGGCCTCTCTCAGTCGTGTGCATCTTAGTATCCTCATTTCATCAATCCATTCGTTTCCCATTTAGTGTCTGTTTTGTGATTCTCTGTTTGCTTTTCCTGAGGACATGTTTAATGTATTTGTTCCATCTTTTTTGTCTTATTGCTGTTGATACAGACGGTTTTCCATAAATGTTTTTCTTATTTCTTTACCTTTCTTGAATTCATCCTGTTTAACTTTTGAGTCCCAGGGGATTTAGCACCAGTGGCCCAAAAGATGGTTTGGCAATATTTTGAGTTTCACAATGGTAACATAACAGACCATACTAATTCAACTGCTGTGCAGCATACACATATTATACATCAAAGTGTCCAACAATTGATAAGTTATAACATTAGAATACAGCTACAAGATAAATTATGTTAGGCAGATGACAAATGTTAAACACCTGTGGAACACAACCTGCAGTTAAAGAGAAAGTAAACGTTTTGAAAATGCATCCTTTCTATGGCAAGAAGTTCAGGGATTTAAATAATAGAACTTTTTTGTTACAGTGGACACTGGCTTTAAAAAAAAAAGATCAACATTATTTGCAGTTGCAACTGACAAATAACTGATAATCTTTCTGATTTTTATGAAGCGGACAGTGTGCTCCAAGGGACATATGTATGATATTGATGATAAATGTGCTTGCTGATCCTGTGATTGCTTATCAATCCCTGTGCATTAATTGTCATGTTTTTTTTTGACAGCTTGCTCAGCCACTGATACAGTCACAGCCAATAACTGGACCACTCCCACGTGATCACATGTGCTCAGCTATCTTTGTCACACTGTGTTGTTTTTGGCCAACTGGCATTGTGGCAATCATGCGAGCCAGCGATGTAAGTTTTACGTTTGCTCTAGTTTTTATAAATTATTGTCTTGGGTTCAAATCCACATTGCACCAGATTTTGTTTTGCAAATTTGACCTTGGCTTCCAGGTCAGCCCCGCCGAAAATAAGTACCAGGTAATGTTAACCACAGGTTTGAGGTTTGAACAACGGATAAACATCAGGAGTAACCCATAAGTGCTCCATTCCTTGTCTAATTCAAGACTGAGTCCGAAGAAGCTCAGCACAGTGCACAGACTCTTTTGCATCAGGTAGAGATCCTGAAATACTTTGGGTAGATTGTTAACTCCAAATTTTGCCCGGGCAGCATCGTTAGTCTACTCTTTTTGATTTCCAACTGCCAAGGGATTTTTTGCGTGCACAAAAATGCACACGGGCACCCAGAGACCAGGGGGAATTACTAGAAGTCCAAGTTCACATGAAAAATTGAACCCGGAACCTCTAGCACTCGAGGCAGTCACCATGCCTCGAGATCATGCAGCCCCCTGTGAGATGTTGACCACATCACTCATGAAGTGTTGATTGGCCTGTTAGAATATGAATCTGAACAGCCTTTGCTTGATGCACTAGTGGCATAAAAAGGGTTCCTTACTTACTTTATCTGATTGCTTTGTCAACATGCCTATGGTTTAGAAAAAGAACAGTATTGAAAGGAATGAATGAAGAAACTTTTTTTTTCACATTAGGCTAGATTTATTCAGTGCTTAGATGTAAAACACTAGTTTAAAAAAAAAAAGATTTTTTATTATTATTTTGGTCCACACAATTTTTTTTATTTTTTTGTAATATCCAAGTTCAAAATCTTGATTTGCTCCTTTAGTGTCTGTAAAAGGTTTTCTGCATTGTTTTAATTCTTGAATTTCTAGGCATAAATTGTAGTTTTATTCTATTTTTATGAGCCCAGAGTAAAAATTGTTTTCTCTAAATTTTATTTTACTAACAGTTTCGCCTCCTCGCTTTCAATAATTGTTTTCCGAGTTGATACACTTGTGTAATCCTCTCACCTTACATATAAGGAAAATTCATAAGTGAAGACAGTTGTGTCCTCGTCGCTGTGGAACAATATGTCCCACTACAGCCCAGACTTGGCTCCATCAGACTCATTTATTTTGCCCATTGGAAGAACATTTGCAGGGTCAGAGATTTGCAGATGACAATGAGGTGTAGTAAGTGGTGCAGACTTGGTTACTGGCCACAACCAAAAGCCTCTACCTGTGGTGGATATCCACACTCTTGTAGATTGGTTGACTACATGTGTTACAAGGCAGATAGACTATGTTGAGAAATAGAACACAGAAGAATTCTGTTCTGGTCACTTGTAAAAAAACTTATTAAAGTAATTGCCTTTACTTCCACTTGTAGTTAGCCTCTGTTGACCTTGTTTCTGATATTCCTAGAATATCTTAATTCATATTTTTTGTGGCTGAAATTAAATTCTATATAGAATTTTGTCTTATTAGAACATAGGAAAAACAAATTCAATGGTTATTACAAAAAAGATACTAATGCCTTATAGAGTTATAAAAGTGGCTAAGCATTGTACTGCCCTGGCTACCAACTCATAACGGCCACCTGAAAATGTTTCAAAGTTGTAAAGAATTTTGCCAGAGAAAGATAAGCAATAACTCAGTTGAGCATATGATGCTAGACTTGATCAATATGGTATATATGAAACTCTACAGTTCGGTGTCCATGTGGAAATTAGAGACGCTCAAAAGTACTATATACGAAGCAAACCAAAGGACCCGTTCCAGAGATGTCTTCTTACCCTAACGCCGTGAGGCATTCCAGGAGTAGAGAAAAGAAGAATAAATAGAGAAGCATGTCTGTAGCACATGTCCAGTGTTTTGTGGTGCCTATACCCACTGGCAAAGTTCTGGTCCCCAGTCTTGCATCTCTTGTACATATGGCTGCAGAGTCTGTTGTGTCTAGTGCAGAGTCTGTTGTGTCTAGTGCAGAGTCTGTTGTGTCTAGTGCAGTCTGTTGTGTCTAGTGCACAGTTTGTTGTGTCCGGTACATGGTCTGTTGTGTCTAGTGCAGTCTGTTGTGTTTAGTGTAGAATCTTTTGTGTCTAGTGCACATTCTGTTGTGTCTGGTACACTGTCTGTCGTGTCTGGTACACTGTCTGTTGTGTCCAATGCACAGTCCAAATATTATTGTTTGTTTCTTTATGTCTGTTTTAAAAAAAAATGTTTAAAGCCGGATTTACTGAAATCATTAATTGAAAACATGCATCTTCTGTTTTCAGGCTCGAAGTGCCCTGGCTCGTGGTGATGTTGCCGCTGCCCATTCCTATGCCAACTCTGCCAAGAGCATGGTCACAATCAGCATTATTGTTGGCATTATCGCATTTATTGTGGTTGGCATCATTATCGGAGTCTATGTGGGGATTGTTGTGAACAGTTTGAGAGATTACGATTAGTCTGTATGGTGCAGGGAAACAATTTGATTTTACTGAGAAGTCATTCATGAAGTTATTAATGATCTGTATACTTTTACTATTTTTCCCTTACTGTAAGAAGAAAGTTCGTTCGTTCTGTCTTATTGTAATCTTCAGCAAAATGTATCAGTTCCTGTGCTGAAACTTTGCTGTCACAAAAATCTTTTTTATTGTCACAGTATGCTTTTATTTTTTTGCACAGAAGACAGAAGGAAAATAGTTATGACAAAAATTAAATGTTTACGAACTATACTAGGTGTAATGAGGAAAGATCAAATTAGGAACGATGATATCTAGAGGGTAGTCGGCACAGAACCAATACTGAACTTTATAGCTAGACAGCACGTCAAATCAAATGGTTCGGCCATGTAACAAAATTGGCATCACACAGGACACCACAGAGAGCAATGTTATATGGATACAGCGATATTAGAACCAGAAGATGGACTACAGAAGTATCAGAGACCACTAAAAAGTACTTGATATGAAGAAAACAGAAAGGCCTGTTCCAGAAATCTGTTCTGCCTTGACGCTACAAGGCATTCCAGGAGTAGAGAAAAGAAGAAGATATTTTTGGCTTTCCAGTGAATTTTCATCATTTTTCTGTAAAACTGAATCTCTGAGACCTGAAACTGTTTTTATTGTTAGGAGGTTTACTAATTTTCCATGTTTTATAAGACCAAATTTTCAAATATAAATTTTCCGACAGTCTCCTTATACCTATTTATCAAGTCTGACCAATAAAAGATCATTAAGATTTCATTCAGAATACATGTTGATAGGGCTGCTTTTTTTTTCTTGAAAAATGGTGTCTGTACTTCCAAAGTATCTTTAAATTATGCCAGTATTCACCATTAAGTTCTGTTACAGTAGCACTGCGTTTGTTTTCCCTTTAGTAATATTATTAGAATTCTGACAAATATCACGTCTCATAGTACTTACATGATGCAGAACACACACAAAAAGATCACGATACCTGGTCTTCTAGAGTTCCAGCGAATGTTGTTGAGTAATCTACTGAAGAATAGTAGATCCACTTTTGATAGCATGTTTTACACAGTAACATTTGCGATTAGAACAAAGACTGATTCTTAGATGGTTAACATTTGCTACACTTAACTTAATGCTGGTGGTTAAATGTCTTTAATGACAATTTATAACTGTAAACCACAGGTCTGTAGCTTTTGTTGTTTTTAAAGATCAGCATTGTTGCATTTGTTGTATGTTATTCTCTTAATAAACTGCTGCCAACTGATACACAACTTATTTGTAGCATGTTATTATTTATTCTTCAATAATAAAATAGATGGTGATGGTAAAAATGTAATTTATAGATAGACATATCTTGTAAAAGACTGAAATTGTAATGTATTGTTTCCATTCATTCATATATGTAGATTTTTATGGTTATTGTGTAAATTATATGTTAACATAAGAAAATATACTTTGTTGGTTTTTGTGAAACTATTTTTTAAAAACACCAGTCATGATACAATGAGAAGAGGGTAGGGCACAGATGAGATGAGAGCTGGGGGTCTTTTATAAAACCAATATGTACTGCAGTTTTTAAGACTAGCTAGAAAAGTATCATTTTAGAATGTGTATGCCACCACCAATTATTTTTTGTTGCCCTTGGGAGCTAGTGTCCTCTGTTTTGAGAATCCATGATTTGTAGAATGAAATTTGTATAGCACATCAGGCTACTGTTTGGGAAAAATAATATTGTGGATATTCAATATTTACTATTCTAGACTGATGTTTTTATAAAGGTATACGCTGTTCTTCAGTTCATGCGTGTTAACAGCTCAGTATGGGCTGCTGTATTGTAGATGAGGTTTATATGTTCTGTTGTATGTGTTTTTGATTAATCTTTGTGAAGTAAAAAGTTAACTCTTTCTGCTCCCCAGCAACGTACCATGTTTGCTCAGCTTATGTTCAAGTGTATCAAAGCAGCACATAGTGTGTTTTTATTTTGTTCTTTTTTGGTTTGGGGTATGCTAAAGAAATCTGGCAAAATTTGTTAAATGCAGCTTAGTATATGCTGTATCTATGAAATTCAGACTGAAGGTTTCTTTTTAGCTGCAATTATTTTGCAAACGTAGCTTATGCTGTGAAACCATCTGAGACTAAAAGGGTTAAGGACCCGTTTCACACAATTTGGCATGTCAGATATATGGAGCTGGGCCCATGAGTGATGTTTGCCAACATTATGCCAGCCACCTTTACGTCCAAGAACATGTCCTAGTACCCATTTCAGACAGGATCAACCTGTCTTAGACTGTGTGGAACTCTTGAATCTAAGTTCTGTAGAAAAGCGAGAAAAAAAATATGTTTTGATGCGGACTCATAGATGACAGGATGAAGGACTAGATATCAATGGCCACATAGAAGAACCAAAAAAGAAATGAATGGTACCTGTTACCTCTAAATGATAATAGCTGGCTGAAATAACTTCAGCAGTCCTATAGGTGGACACTTATGAAGATGTGTCACATTAAGCCTCATCTCTTCATTATTGTGTGTGTGAATTGAATCTATTTTAAAATAGATTGGGCAGATAATATGGGATTGTTAGTTGTTTTAGTTAATGTTACTGTGTTGTGATATTTTATAATATGTTTTTCTAAACATGTGATAAATAGTTTAGCTTTCTGATCAATCTTTTCTTCTTATGTTACTTGATGGAGGGTAATATAGTATACATGTAATGATCCTGCTTCGAATGCTCTCCACGCATATAGCGAGCCAGGCCGGAAACCCAGGCACCCAGTGACCGCACGGGATACTTGGGGCCAGTTGAGTAGACGTGGGCAGGCCCGAGCTAGACTCGTGGTCAATCGCATTGGAAAATTCAAGGAAGTCAGTTGTCTTATTAGAAGATGTAGTAGTTCGTTCCAATGTTGTGTGGATGACTAGTGTTAATAGTCTGATGGAAGATATGAATGCATGAACAATCGTCAGCATGTATCATAGAATGTGAAAGAATAAACTGATAGCCGGTACAATGAAAACTAAGCGTCATTTGTGTGTTATAATCCCTAGTGCAAGACCCAGGTAAATACAACAATCTCACAAGTAGAGCTGGGTCAATCAGCAGTAGTGCAAACAACTTCAGTGTAATACATTTGTCTTTGAAATGGAGTTTTTGATTTGATTTGCACATTTTCCAGTTAGTTTTGTCATATATAAGGTGGTAGATATCTCCATAGAGGACATCACTTCTCAGCCACTTTGTTTTTATCTTCTACTTTCACCATAACCCTTTCGTATCCCTAAGGGGTTGTGGGGTGAAATGCCTTAAAATGGTGATTGGCGTGACAACTTCACCTTTCAGCCCAACACATCTGATTTGTGCAAGTTCTTAATTAGTCACAAGTTACAAATCCTTGTTTAGGGGCAGCAGATTTATTATTTCCCCCCTCCCCCTTCCCAATAGAGTGGAGCCCTAGAACCCACAAGGGAACCTCACCCATTTAATTTGTATGTTTTTACTGAGAACAGTCTTGCTGATCAAGTTTTTTCCCCCCAGTAAGATCTGCAGTTCTATTGCCAGAGTGAAGTCCCTTGCCTTCTTTAGATCACTGCTGAAACAGAACCTCTTAACTCTGCTGTATTTATCACTAGCTGGCCTCGGCTGTCTGTGGGGTTGGCAGTCCTGTAGGATGTATTCAGGGTTTTGAAATTTGCACATATATTCTTAAACACTTACAGTGTCGTTCATTTTTTATTTTATTTTTTAGAAAAGAATCTTAGTGTCCAGGTCTCTATAACTCCATGATAATGTCCATCATCTTTTACATGTCAGTGCTGAGAGATGTTTCTGCTTTAACTCTGTACTGTCTCGGCACAAAGCTTTAAAAGTTACTTTAACTTGACAAAATAGTCTCAAGTGGACAATCTTTAGGCAAACACCCCCCTCCCTCTCTCTCTCTCTCTCTCTCTCTCTCTCTCTCTCTCTCTCTCTCTCTCTCTCTCTCTCTCTCTCTCTCTCTCTCTCTCTCTCTCTCTCTCTCTCTCTCTCTCTCTCTCTCTCTCTCTCAGTATGTGGATATTTTATTTTTGCTTTGCTGAAAAAATCTTAAATGTTCAGGTCTCTGACCATGCTATAACTACACGATAAAGTCTATCATTTTCTACAAGTCAGTGCTGGGGCACCATTCTGCTCCAACCATGCACTCACTGGGCACAGATCTCTATAAGCTGGGAAATTCTGAAGGATGTATTCATTGTTGCTAATTTTTGTTCCACCCACCATTCACCTGGTGATGTAGTCTGAAGTGGACTGTCTGTAGGCAAAAGATAATATATTGCCATAGGTGAATTAATTTAGGCTTTTGTCTTTATATATATATATATATATATATATATATATATATATATATATATATATATATATATATATATATATATATATATATATATATATATATATATATATATATCCACTGAGAAGTGTTTTGGCTGTAAATGATTATTTGTGCTTCTCAGTATAATGATTGGTTCTAGAACAGTGGCTCTCAACTTGTGGGTCACGACCCATTTGAGGGTTTAATAACCCGTTCACAGGAGTCACCTAAGACTATTGGAAAACACATATTCACTGAAGTTATGAAGAAGCAACTGTTTTAAAGGGTCGCAGCATTGGGAAGGTTGAGAACCACTGCTGTAGAAGAAATAAGACATCTGCATTAATCATGTTATGATGACTGAATTTGCAGCTATTACCAGACTGCAACAACAGTAGGTCCAAAGGTGTTCGGCCAGGCAAGGGCACTAAGTTAGAAGCCAAAGAGGAAAATAAACCAGTATAGAGTTGCTCCAGACTGTAGGATGTAGTGAGGAGGGGATCAGAGCAGTTAGTAACTGAATGGTTCAGTGTGCAGCGAGGATGATGTGTCGGCTAGCTAACTAATATGTTCCATTTAAAAAAAAAAGTTCAATGCCATGTTCATTATGGGGGTCTTCATCATTGTGCTGTGTCT